TCATTAAATTCGATTGCAACTAATGGGACGGGTGGAAGTGAGTTTAAACCACAAACTCCAAGTCTTCATACGTTAGATCATGATGATTTCTTTGATACCCATCGTTCTTCTTCTCCTCAACAAACTATTCATGATATTATTTCGACTTCAACTGCTGGTGCCGGTCCAACAGTCCAATTAGTTGAGAGAATGAGTTCCGCGGTAAGGAAACTGGAGAGTGAAAAAGTGGCGACGAAAGAGGAAGTTGCTAGACTAATTGCTCAGAGAGATGAAGCGAGAACAGAGATTGTAGCGCTGATGAAGGAGGTTGAAGCTAAGAGGGGATTAGAGGAGAAAGTCGAGGCGTTGGAAGAAGAGATTAAGGGGGTTAAGGAGAGGTATGAAGTTACGCTTGAGTTGTTGGGGGAAAAGAGTGAAGAGGTTAATGAGTTGAGAGGGGATGTGGAGGATATTAAGGCGATGTATAAAGAGCTTGTTATTAAGAGTGTTGGGTAGAGTGGGATTAGATGGAGGGGAGGTGACTGGGTGGGAAATTCCTTGAGAGGGTCTACAAATAAGTGGGATTTGTATTTCTAGTGAAACTTGGAATCATAGTCGGCTTATCTAGATATGAAGTTTTCGCGTGGTTATGAGATTAGATTGCGTGGTGTGGTTTGGTTTGGTTTGGTGCGGTGTGGCATGGCAATAATGAGATGAGATGATTTGATTTGAATGGGGGTATCTTGGCCGTGATGATGTACTATGCTATGCTGGGTAGGGCAGGATAGGACTGGGCAGGGTAGGCATGTATGTATAGATTTGTCTCCTTATGTATAGCTATAGATGAAGAATATAGTAGGGATGAATGATAAATCGAGGTGTTGAGTTCATACTCTGGGGAAATGAAAGGAAGCTGGATATGAATGTGAATAGATGAGTGGGGTGGGATGAGTGGGATGGGATTAGGAATAGAAGGGAATCTATATATGTATGTTAGTGGAAGAAGAAGTGATGATGAATAATAAATACAAGTAAGTAATCAATGTATACCTATTAATACCACGACCATAAAGCCTCATGAGGATACTATAGAGATGATAATCTATCTGGTTTCTGGCTTTTGGATTTTAGGCTCTCATTCTCGTTCTGATTCTGGATTCTGATTTTGGATATTATGTTATGTTATGTTACATCCCATCATACCATATTATATTAACCTTATGTTATATCATACTAATCTAACTCGATTTCTTCTTCTTCTTCTTGCTCTTGCTTATGTAGTTGGGTTTGTGATATACAATTTGGTAATAACAAATCATAGGTGTATGGAGAGGAAGATGGAGGATGGAAGATGGAAGTTTTTATGAGCTGATCATATTCTAATCTTGTTGCGTTTCACATGCCCTCATGCTCCGATCGTCATGATTTTTGAAGTGAGGTGAAGTGAAGGAAAATCTGTAGAAGTACGAGTAAAGAGAATTATATACATCCCTACCTATCTATCTATAAATTCTATATGGCTTGATCTGATGATTCTGCGCTACTCTACATAATGTGATGTGAAGACCCGTAGGTTATGGATATAGAGAATTATATACTTATGATTTTATATATCTTCCCTCGTAACCCGTCCCTCTGCGAGCTAGAATACTCACATAGTAGAAGGTTTTGATTATTCTTATTCATGAAATAATTCTGTGTAGATGCGACTGGGTTGGGCCGAGATGAGCTGGAAAGACCTATATAGTATGCACGAGTCATTTGTGTATACATTATTACGGGGTAAATCCTGTTCACGTTCATATATATATGTAAAGGTGGATTTTTCCATGAAAGTGGAAGATGGTGCTTGAGAATTGAATGATTGGATTATGTAAATGCTTGCATGTGTGTAAATGTATATACAGACTTGAGCTCGGAATTTCGTAAAGGTTACTGGAGAACTAGGATCTAGGTCAGAGAGGGAAGGGGTGAGAGTGAAAGGGGGAGTGTGAGAGGCTAGATGCAGAATTTTGGACGCTCAACTACCTGAGACTTAAGAGATTTGTGACAACTGACGAGGAATTAGATGGAAAAAGAAGATAGGGAGGAAAGGAGTAAAACAGAAGGGGAACAGAATGGTAAAAATGCGTTGATATTCACATCTGAAACTCTAGCTCTACTGCTTTTCTAGTTTTTTCTTGCTCAATGTCATATTTTAATTCGGGGGAACATCATTCATCATTCTTGTATATCAGTCTCAGAAGTTACCAAGATATGATATTGATCGTACGATGTTAAAGGTTTAATATCGTTTGTACTCACAGGCTCATGAGCTCAACATGTACATGTTTAACATCTAGTGAAAGGGATCAGAGATCTAGATCCGGAGTGGATACTTGAATATGAGGAGTTCCAATCTGTGAGTCATCATGGCAATTATTTACCAGCATAAAAAACAGCGAGGGTCAGAACGAAAACCTAGCTGTCATTCGCTACGGCAGGATCTTTGACTTGAAGCTTCCTCGAATGTATCGTAATTTAGATGGCTTAGACATATCTTAGTCTCAAAGGAGCAATCCACTCATTATCTGGCCGTCTATCCTTCCTCACGGAATCGTTGAGAAAGTGGACGTGACTAATAGTGTAGCCCTTTCTAGAGTCTGGATAAAACGAGCCATGATGGGGTAAGAAGAGAAGAAAAACACCCAACACTTCTGAATTGTACTAAACTCGTGAGGACAGACTTTATTGCAAACAAAACTTTCAGAATAATAAGTTCCTCTTCGGTCTGGTTACATAGAACGACCAACAACTCATGGCAACGGATATTAAACCATTGGAATGGGTTCTTGCCTTCAGCTTGAAGATCCATGAGATTCTTTGCTATATTGCACCCTAACCTATCGATGCGAGCCTAACAGCTTACCCCCTCGGAGTATCAGACTCAGGATAAACTGTCAAAAGCGTAACCTTGCCGTCGGTAACAGCTAGTATCTGCTTCCATAGAAAAGGAAATTCACAAACCACATAAAACGGTGTTTAATTAGTGAATAAGCCTAATTCCATACACCATCGACCAGATACAACCGCTTGGTTTCTCCATCTCAAGTACTCATCATTACATTCAATACTCAATCAAGTTAACATACAGAAATGACAGACCCTATCGTTGTCATTCATTAACCTCAACCTCGCTCACCACACCGCGGGGCACACAGCTGACTAATCACAAAGCTCACCTCACACAGCTCCATCCATCACCACACCTCGAAATAAATAGAGTAGTGTCCAACCCACCACTCATTTCGCATTTGAAGCTCTCAAACTCCACCGTCCTCTATTCGCACACCTTTCCGCATCCTTCATTTTAACCTTCCCTTCCGCGCTTCCAAAAGAATCCGTAAAAATGGCGCAAAAAGGCCAGCAAAGTTCGTTTCCCTCCTTCTTCTCCCCCTCTGCAATGCTCTCCAATGCTCTCTTCCCCCTCCCCTCTAAACCTCCCGCCCCCAAACCTAACAAAAAACAGTCGACCTCACCTCCCTCACCACCGCCCAATTATCCCAAGTCAAGAAACAACTCGACGACGAACTTGAGCATCTCACTTCTTCCTTCCAACAACTTCGCGCGGCGCAGAGTAAATTTAGAGAATGTTTGAGGAGTATTAGTACGGGTGTTGGAAAGACTGTTGAGGGTAAGTTTGTTTAGGGGCTTCTTCACATGTTTGTAGAGAAGAGGAAGAGAGAGGGGTGGAAGGGCAAGTCTTGGAAAGAGGAAAGCGAGGCTATAAACGGGAGCTGTAAAGACTGGGCTTGGAGGAAGGAAGTCTTGGAGGGAGAGCACAAGAGATTGAGAGCCTAGCGGTCTTGGAGATGGCGAAGAAGCTTCACCTGTCTTACGGCTCAAAAGATAGGCAGAATACTTTGCGCAGCTTCTTCTATTCTACTCCCCCCCTCCCCCCCCCCCTCTCTCTCTACGCTCAATCGCCTCGAATACTTCTCAACTATATGATTCCGCTGCTCAAAATCCCGGGAATGCAGCTTCTCAACCCCCTTCTCTGGATGACCCCTTCTCACCAATCAAATACCTCAGCCCTTTCCCCTTTCTTCTTCCCCCCTCATCTCACCCTACCCCCAAAACTCCACAAGCCTAATTCATATCTACATCGTACTTAAGCTAACAACCATCCCAATCCAATAGGCAAACCAATCCTCGTGCCTCTCACAACATCTCTCTACGTCCCCGGCGAATTAGCAGATACCGAAAATGTAATTGTAGATGTCGGAACTGGTTTTTATGTTGAAAAGGTACGACTGTTATTTTCCTCCATTATCCTTCTTTCCTCCATCATCCCTTTGCACTTCACTCAATTCCATTCAATACATCCCTTCCTCCCTATTCTAGAAATTACATGTACCCTAAACTTTCTCCAAACTTACACACAAACCTTAGAGCACCAAGGATGCAACCAAATTCTATGAAGCAAAAGTTGAAGAAATTGGAACCAATTTGAAGGATTTAGAAATTATAGTCAACAACAAATCAAACAGTCTACGCGTGGTTGAAGATGGTATGTTTCACTTTATGTTTTGGTTACAAAATCAATGAATTTTTGGCTAATCCCTAAGTACAGTTTTACGCCAGAAAGTTCTTAGCTCAACTCCAGGTGCTGCTTCAGCTTCAACATCTTAATATTTCTGCGCTATGGATGGAAAAGAAAAAAAAAAATGAAATGCCAAAACTCAAATAATCTCGTAAAGAATTCAATTCGTTCGAGACACCACTAAAATCGGAATGGTCAAGTCGAGGAAAATACCAAGTCTGAGGAATTCGCTATAGAGTGCATGCTGTATGTAGGCAGAGTGAAATTCCGATGATGATTGCTCTCATTCGAATATGGCAGCAAAAAGAAATGAGAAAGGGTTGATGTAATTAAACTTTAAAAGTGAGATCGGAGAGGTGATTCCTTCGAAGAGACTTGTCAAGTAAATTCAAAATAGTAAAATTATGAAAGCACTTGATGTGTAGTATCGATTTGGCGATTAGGCTCTGCTTTCGTTCATTGATTGATGGAAACTCAAGAGGAGTTCATCGAGCTCTTCGACAAAAGCTTCACATCCCCCAGCTGGAAAGAAGTTACTCATATCCCTCTGCCAGTCGCGCTCCATCGTAGTGTGATCATTCGCCTCCATATCTGTATCCCAAAGATCATGGAAAACTGTGACTCCGGCACAGATATCTGGCTCTGCTACAGTGCTCAAACCATTCCAGTTTCTGTTGATGGTGAATTCAAGGCAGTAGCCACCCTTTTGAGTCTTGAACCTATAGATGCTCTGAAGTGTAACCTTCTCGACACGTAGACCAGCCTGAACACGGGGAGTAATTCTAGGATATACGAATCCATACTTGTCTTTACGCTCCTCCATTCTTCGAGTATTTAATCCCGTACGAACGTATGGTTGCAAGCAACTTTGAACCAAGTCTTGAAACGAGCTATCGACTACGGTGCCGGCTGTCTCACTGATGATTTCAATGGTCCAATCAACTTGTCTATGGGTGTTCTATTAGTAGGTGATCAAGAATTCGAGGATCATCAACTTACTCAATGTCAATAGTCACAATCTCCACGCACTTGTTGCGACGTTCTTCCTCAACAACTTTGACTACACCACATTGGTATCCGCCATAAACCGTGTCAATGTCTGCCTCAATCTGGAACATCTGGCCTGATGAATTTTGTACGGCGAGGATCGCAGCAAATTTTGGCTTCACGTCCTGCAAGTCGTAGTCCGTGCTATTCCAAACCATGAACTTGTCAAGTTTTGACTTCACATCGGCCATCATGTGAATGACAGCTCGAGGATCAACACTGAGTACATGTCAGCTTATGAATAAACTTTTGGCACATCATAGACTTACGCTTTTTCGAATACGCCCCTAATTCCTTTACGAGCCATCATCTTCCTGAAAGCATCCCAATCTTGTTGGCCATCAGTCAGGACTGTTTGCCAGCGTGTGAGATGTAGTTCTCCAAAATGTACTCGCATCTGCATGCGGTCATTGAGACGAGTGAGCTCGTTGAGATGATCGCTCAACTTTTCACGGAACTGCTCGACGGTGGCTTCCACTTTTAACGAGCGGCGGGGGCTCTGTCTCTTCAACTCTTCATTGGAAGAAATCTTAGAAAACTTGATCTCAGAGACATGTCTTTGGCCTTCAAAGCTGATAGATGCTTTGAGGAGAGTAGACTGAGTAGAATATCGGGGCGGTACAACAATGAAAACAGTTTCTTCCATGTTGGCTCGAGTAAGAGCACTATCAGCAGCTTGTCGAATACCTTTGATGACTTCAATGATGGTGGCTTCACTGGACGGTGACACGGCAGAGATTACTAGCCAGCGGCGGGCACGATTCCACTGGATAAAGACTTTCCAACTGGTCTTTAAATGGTCAAGGTCCTTCAGTTGTTCGCCAAATAAAAGCCCTGGGTCTACTCCTCTCACTGGCCATTGATAGAATCCCTGTGGTAAATCAGTATCTAAAAACAAGTGAAGCAATAGATAGAAGGGACTTACGATGGCTGAGAATACCTCTCCATCAGCAGGCTTCTTCAGGAAACGTGCTGTGTTGGTGCGCGAGCTTCGGTCATTCTCAAGTTGCAATTTCTTTGCTTCAGTCATGAGACCAGCTGGGACGGCCCAAGCAGTGCTTGAATGGAGACCTGGCTCTCTGTCTTTCTTAACCGGACGGCGAGGTAGTTCCTGGTCGGCACGATGGTTATCTGAAGGTACATGGCCAGAAGAGCCAGTACCATCGCGAGAATGTCCTCCCCGAGGAGCATTCTCGACCAATCGTCCTAATAGTTATTAGTATTCTTCGTGGCAATATACTTGTCAATTGAGCGACTTACCGTTACCACGTCCCGTGGATACGGATTGGTGCCCGCCACGACCAGCATTGCCCCTCGAGTCACCTCGAGTGACTCCGCCACCGCGGTGGCTGCCATTTCGGCCGCTACCACGATCAATTGTTCCACGCCCGCGTCCACGAACATTGACATCGATCCTACGACCACGTCCACGGGTAGCATTGTTAATGCTACGACCGCGACCACCTCCACCGGTGTCGGTTCCTCTGATTACCGAAGCCGATCTAGAAAATTCCTGTCGGATAACAGGAGCTCTAACTCCGACAGTTGTCGGGATGGGTACTTCTTCGGCGTCGCCCGCCTCCGATTCCGCACACCAGGCGGCGGCGTTATGACTCTCATAACTAGTAAATATTAGCTATATAATCGATTGGAATAATATGATGATAATATGATGAGAAAGAAACTATGCATACGTCGCGAGCTTGTTTGAAGACATCTTGTCGATCTGTAATCGATAATTCTTTCTTGGAGAAGAACAAATACGGCAACGAGTAATTTTAAGAAGTGGCACACGATGTAGCACACTTAAAAATAGTGAGAGATTGGTCTAGCAGTGAAATGTAAGATTAAACCAATTCAAGAAGGAAATGGAGGAGGATTGAGTTATGTGGGGGGAGAAATGAGAGGTTGAGGTAATTTGAAGAAGAGTTTGATAAGAACAGCAGTGATATCAAGATAGAGTCAATTTCTTGATTGCAGAAGGAATTTAAGAATCAGAAATTGTGGTTGTCGTTGTCAAAAAGAATTTGAAGAAGAGAGTGGAAAGTGGAAAGTGGAAAATGGTAAGTGGGAAATGAATTGAAGGCGGCGAGATTTTAGGTTGACAATAATATCCCATGGCAACCGAACAGGAAGGAAGAAGGTCAAGCTCTTTCCAAATTCCAATGTAGGAAATTAGGCGAGTGAAGAACAAAATGATGGGAACTTCCTACTTCCTCAAATTCACCATCAATATCTAATGTAAAGCGGCGAAGAGCCAGAGAGGAAAGAGAGAAGAAAGTGATTCGAATTGCCATTTGTAGGTATTGGTTAATTCCGATCTTCGAGGATATTACGAGACTTCAAGTAATATCATTCCTTTCAACTTTCAAGGTGAAATGTAAATAATAAGAAGTGAAAAGGGTTGTCTGCTTCTCTTACCTCAACAGTCCAATTTTCAATGGCTAAACTTGCCAATCGGCCTCTACAGCGGGGAAAACCCGGCGAGAATCCAAAAGGAAAGAGACCTAATGTGCCATCAGTGAATTGTTGTTGAGATGCTGGTTACTTCTCAGAGATTACGCAAGTAACGGAAATCTTACATCAACGATGTGAGTGTTCTTGACTTTTGGCTTGCATACTTCAACATGAGAATATCGACCGACAACCATATGAAAAAAAATGTTTTCAGATGAAAGCCACTCTTGAACAGCTGTCTCGTATGAGGATCTACCGATCGAACAAACGCACATAAAGTGCTATGTGACTCCAATGCATATGCATCTATCCGCGCATAAGCACAAACGCTCAACATGGATCACTTAGGCCACATGCATGAAAGAGAAGTCTTGAGACATCTGGCAAAGGGTATCTTCTCTGAACCAATCATTATGTTTGACTTTTGGTTCAAGTCCACACGTACAAATCAACCTGTATACCTTGACTTCAAGCATGAATATGCAGTCCACAGGATATAACATTTTGATGATTGACGATGTGCTTATTCCCTTCCAGGTAGTCTGGCTTGGTAAGTTGGGTATGGAGATGCATGCTTGTTGATCTCTTTGTATAACGCTCGAATGTAACAGAAAGGAATTGTGCAAGAACCTACAACAAAAGTATTTGCTCTCTTCTCTACATCTCTCATTAGTCTATGGTTTCATGTGGATTGCCGATATATTGTTGTTGTGAATCCTAGGATTGACAAAGTTGAGGACTTACTTAGCAATTGTCGGGAGAGAAAGTTCTCCTCTATGGCTTCTCACAGCCCAAAGAAACCAGAGTCGAAGAGGACATCTTTCTTTGGAAAAGAAAAGTCATTGTAAGCGGTCATATAAAGAAGAGTCTTTGAATGATGGGACATATTTTTGAGGTATGTTGATACATTATTATACAATGTGGAAAAGTTGTGTTCCAAAATAGCGAATTAATAAGGATTGTGGGAGGGAGGGTTCTTCGAAACGAAAGACAAATTATAAACTCCAGAGGAAGTTGTTGTTAGCTTAGCGTCGGAGGAACACGGGAGGTCGGCCGCATCTGAGCCACCATCACACTATCACACTATCAAGGTATCCCGAGGTCACACTATCTAGGGAGGCTAGAGGTAATTCTTGGGTTCCAAGGTTGTATGTGATATGTGATAGATATGGATGGACCATTCTTATTGTTTGTCATCCTGGGAGATGACTCTCTCTACCGCTGTTTTCGGGATGAGCAAGAGTTGCACACTTATTATTATTATTAGTAGGCATGTATTGGGTATTCAGCAGCAGTACTGCTTCTATCGATCAATATAACAGCAATTGAGTATCAGTCCCTATCTCATAGATCTCAGAGGGGCATACATTTGGGCACCTGCAGCGAAGCGACTTGTAGCCTAGGTAAGTGCTGGAAGAGAAAGGGAATGAAGTTGGGTGTGGATTTGATGAGATCAGACCCCTTGAAAAGCCATCAATCAATACCCCTAGGGATGTAGTAAAGCTTTCCCCGCACTCCACTAATTTCAGGTACAAGCTTAAATAAAACATGGAATCAAATGTCCACCATACAGGCTTTACATTACCTAAACTCAAATAGGTCAATCAACAACACCTGCCATATCTTGGGTAAATCCGATGAAGAATAGGTACCTACCGATATTTAAGATGTCACCAACTCCAATACTACCTCCGTCAAAGGCCATACCTCCTCCAGCAAAGGCAATTGTACCCACAGATGCAAAAACACGATTAAAGAAAGCTGAGAATGCTAGAAAACGTTTGGTAGCTGGCCGGACGCTGAGAGAGGATTCGGATCAAGACGAGGGCTCGGACGACGAGGCTGAATGGCAATGGATATATGATGACGAGAATTCCGAAGAAAACGCTTCGCCATCGCAGACCAGTGCTAAAGGGGGCGAAGATTCATCAGCTAAGAGAACGCGTCGGCTCTCGAAAGGTGCAGGAGCTAGGAGGATTGTCGGTGCCAGGGCTGGAAAGACGGTCTGCAGGATTACAGATTGTGTTTTGATAAATAACGATACTTCGAATACAAATTGGGTTGGAATTATCTCAGGGTTTGACGAGGATGAGGGCTATGACGAGAATGCCGAATCATACCATGATATAATGAAAGCCAATATTTGGTGGTTCTGTAGCCCAAATGACATTCACAATAAAACGAAGAAGCGATTGGATTTTCTGGAAGTAAGTAGATTCTGTGTTTACATCTTGCTTCTTGTTTCTTTAGGCTAACGGCTATAGAATGAGCTCTACATCTCTTCTGATCTCGATACAATTTCACTGGCGACCATCAATGGCGTAGCTACGATCCTATCCGAAGATGCATTCAAAGCCAACTTCCCAACTGGAAAAATACCTAGAAATCGAAAAGAAAATGGGAAAACATTCATATGTCGCCGAGGATTACACAGCAAATCTGTCACATATACAGATGAATTCGTGTGGGATGATGTATACCACAATACAGAGGAAAGTGTTGAACAATTGATCGAGAAGATCGAAAATAGCTTGCCAAGCAACAAGAGAAAGAAACTGGTCGTCCCTAACCTTAAGAAGAAAAAGAAGCTTGATGACGATGGTGACGCAAGTGTGGCATCTGAACATGATGATGATTATGAAGTGGATGAAGAAATCTTATCAACACCGAGGAAAAGGCAAAAGACTACCAAAGCTATAACCCCTCGAAAACCACGCACACCCTCCAAGCTACTTACTCCCAGTCACAAACGGTTCGTCATAACAATTGGTCAACAGGATTCCCAGCTGACATTATTTGTAGGATCGTCGTTAAGAAGCCTTTAGAATTCACGCCCCTGGGAATGCGTATGCTCTCACCATCAGTTAATGCTTCTCCATTTCAAACAGCTCGATCACGACTTCACGTTTCATCCGTTCCTGATACCCTTCCCTGTCGCGAAGAAGAATTCTCATCGGTATATACACATCTTGCAGCTGCTATTACAGATGGTACTGGCTCCTGTATATATATCTCTGGAACTCCGGGAACTGGAAAAACTGCAACGGTACGAGAAGTTGTGGCACAGCTTAATGCATCTGTTTCAGCCGATGAATTAGATCCTTTTATTTTCGTCGAGATCAACGGAATGAAAGTAACAGATCCGCATCAATCATATGCATTGTTGTGGGAAGCTCTGAAAGGAGACCGTGTGAGTCCAAGTCACGCATTGGATTTATTGGAAAGGGAATTCAGCAAACCATCCCCAAGACGAGAGCCATGCGTTGTTTTGATGGACGAATTAGACCAACTGGTAACGAAGAACCAAAGCGTGATGTATAATTTCTTCAACTGGCCTGGTCTGAGGCATTCCAAACTGATTGTACTCGCTGTGGCCAATACCATGGATTTACCTGAGCGTACCCTTTCCAACAAAATCTCTTCACGTCTGGGTATGTCGAACCGACCTTTCATCTTCGTTCAACTACAGCTAACATTGAACTCTAGGTCTAACTCGTATAACCTTTCCCGGCTATACCCACGAGCAACTTCAAACAATCATAATCTCCCGTTTAACTGACGTTCCCGCCCACCTGATCCACCCCGACGCAATCCAATTCGCTTCTCGCAAAGTCGCCTCCGTATCCGGCGATGCTCGTCGCGCCCTTGATATTTGTCGTCGTGCCGTCGAAATCGCCGAATCGGAATCACTATCCATCCCGAATACACCTTCTAAAACACCGGGCAAAGAAGAAAAGAGGGGGAAAGGTGTAGTCAGCATAGCGACGGTTAAGAAGGCTATCAATGAAGCGACATCGAGTCCACTGCAACAGTACTTGAGAGCCTTACCGTTGGCGACAAAAATGTTCTTGGCTGCGTTGGTATTGAGATTGAGGAGGGCGGGGACAGGGGAGTGTCTTGTGGGAGAGGTGGTCGATGAGTGTAGGAGGATGGCAAAGCTGGATACAGGGGGCAGTGTAGTGGGGTTTTTGCTTACGGGTGCTGGAGCTGCTGGAATCGTTAATGTTGGAGATAAAACTAGAGGCAAACAAGCAGGAAAAGGAGCAAGAGTTCAGGGAATGGGCGAGGCGGCAATGGAATTAATGGAGGCAGGTGTTATAGGAATAGAAGTGAGAAAGGCAGAGAGGATGGGCAAGGTTCGGTTGGGAATTGGAGAGGAAGATGTTAAGGTTGCTTTTAAGGATGATCCGGAGATTAGGGGCTTAGGTTTCGTGGGATAGGGGTAAGGGTAGGAGTAGCGAGAGTTTGGGAAGGGAGAATGTGTCAAGATAGATTGGATTGGAATGCATAGATAGATACAAACACGGTTAAATTGATACCCAGCGCTATCATACACGATAAATCAGCATAGCATAGTAAGTAATAAAGAGAAAGAAGCAATAATCCCAAGATAGAAGTTCTCCAAAACTGGTTATCATTCATGTAGCAATGGTATATATGTATGCAATAAGTATCTAAACCACTACGCACGCAGTATCATATAACGCCAAACACGCCCCTAGCTAAACTGCCTAGTCTCGTCTAGCTTCGCCCAAATACCTTTCCGATGCTTTTTTACATTTTCATATTATACATATGTGTTTTTAGAATTTTCGTCGTCCAAGCTCTGGTTTCCATTCGAGAGGGTGGGATTCGGGAGTTGCGAGTTCGTCTTGTTTCCATACTTTTACTATAACGGGAAGGGATGGTTAGCATTTATTCCTTATGAAAGGGGGTGCAAAGGGTGCTGAGGGTAAGATGGAAAAAGAGAGGAAGTTAGAGAGAAAAGAAAGGAAATGAGGAACATACTGGTTTTATCCGCCTCTCCCGTGATCAATCTCAACCCCGTCTTATCGAATAGACTCGTGAAAATGCCCGCCTCCGCATCCAAAGAACCCGGCTGGGCGATAGAATCCAGCGCTTGATATCTATGGCCCGTTTTCCAATCCCAAAACGCCATCGATCCATTGTCTCCTCCGGAAAATAGTACGTTGTCTTCGTTAACACTGAGTGTATTGATGATAGCATTTTGGCCGTCGAAGTTTTGCATAAAGGCTCCTTCGGGACATTTCCATTGTTTGATGCTCCCTGCGCTGCCACTTGCAAATGTGAATTCTTTGGGATGGATAGCGAGTGCGCGAACACCTTTTTTGTGGTGAGTGAGGGCTCCCATACTTTTTCCAGCAGCTAAATCCCATAGGCGGACTGTGGAATCGAGGGATGACGTGATGACCTGTGGATCGGCTTCTTGGCACTTCAAATCTGATACTGTGCCTTTGTGTCCAGATAATACGTGGATGTTACTCCTGGTCCTCATATCCCATACTCGTGCTACACCATCTCTTCCTCCCGTAACCAGTACATCCAGAGTAGGATGTAAAGCCAGAGTATAAACACCACTCAAATGTCCATGATAATGTCGAATTACCTTGTTGGTTTCCAAGTCCCAACACTTAACCATCTTGTCCTCTCCACAACTAAACAAATATGGATGTCGAGGACTAACCGCCAATCCTCTCACAGTCGATATATGTCCCGTCAACGTAAGCTTCAGTCCTCCAGTCGCCAAATCCCATATCTTAATTGTACGATCTCCAGCTCCAGAAGCAAACCAGCGATTCTCAGGTTCAACAGCTAGAGCACGTACCCATCCCAAATGTCCAGATATCACGCGCATGAGTTTCCATGGGGCATGCCATTCGGGTTTTACTTGGACGAAATTCTGTTTACGCACTAGACTGCTGGATGGCAAATTACTCTGCGCAGTAGATATCGAAGGACCGTTCGCATTAGGTGGTGCATCTTTGCCTCGGATTATAAGACTGGTGCTACTTCCGGCTCCAGAACTCTCGATTCGTGATGGGATTCTTTCGATCATCTTCATGGTATTATTGTCTGCAGCCGAGTCCCCATCTGTAGCTTGTACCTTAGCCTTCTTCCTCCTGTTCCCAGCAGCGGCAGCTTGTTTTGCGGCCAAGGCAGCTGGTAACTCTCGAACATGATCGTATTCGGCGTAGACTCTTCCTACTAATGCTAATTTATCTGCGGTTTCTGTGGATTTTGGATCGGGGATTGATTCTGTATCTGCGAAAAGAGAACGTGTTCGTTTCGCATTCTGTTTTATTAAAGATTTAATTTGATCATCTGAAGGTAGTGAGGCGACTGCGGTTGCCATAATGAATGGAGGTGATTGATGTTAATAAGTTGCGCGTGTGTGAGGAGTTGCGATTTGGAAATTTATCGCGATAAAGCTTCAGGAACGTGAGCCACGGACCGTCAAGCCACCGTACTGGCCACCACACCAGCCACTAAGTCGGCTATTGGCTGTCGCTTTGTATTCCAGGCTCCTCCTCATCCACGCCATCATATGATATCAAAAACAATTAAATACAATCTTTCTCCTTTCTTTCAATCTTTCATCGGAATCAAATTGAATACATTGAAACAAAATGGAAAAGCCAACGGAAGATAAATATGCCATTCATCAGGCTTGTCGAGATGGTAGAAGTACGATACCCTCTCCTCTCCTCTCCTCTCCTCTCACCCTTTATTACTAATAAGAATCTAGCTGCTATCGTAGAGTCCCTTCTCAATGTAGGAGATCCCCATAATTTCTGCTATGGAAAACTTGGCTGCATGCAAATATGAGTAGTACTCACAAATTGTAGGCCAACCCAAAACTCGCCTTTTTGAAAGATGAGGACGAAAGATTGCCTATTCATTGGGCAGTTTCTTATGGACATTTGGACATTGTCATATTACTTTCCAACGTGAAGAATTTTGACCCCGATGTACAGGTGTGTATATTCCATATCATGTTCATTACGGCTGAGGGCAACGATGTTGATATATATTGTAGGATGGATCTGGATGGACACCTCTTATGATCGCTGTCAGCCTTAAGGAAGGCGATGATATTGTGAACTTGTTGTTGAAGAAAGAGGCTGAAGTAAATGCCAAGAGTAAGTTTTGCCCTTACTGTATTGCGATTTTGTTCACCTGATGCTCATCATCTCTTAGATTTCAGCGACCAAGTATGACATTCCAACTCTTTTGAATACCTCTCTACAAACAAACATCTAACTGATGTCCAGACCGCTCTCCACTTTGCCATCTCCAAGAACAATCTCCCAGTAGCCAAACTTCTACTATCGCAAACTCCACCTGCATCTTGTAGAGTTAAGGACAAGCGTGGACAGTATGCAATTCATCGTGCAGCAGCTATTGGATCCACCCCATTAGTTGAGTTATTGTTGAAGAATAAAAGTCCATTAAATCCTACGGATGTCGCCGGACAAACACCACTTCATCATGCCGTTGCTGAAGGTCACGGTACGTTGATTCTGCTCACTCGCCTTCATATATCAGGGTGGGAGATATCCCCGATTGGTTTTGATAATTTTGCTACGAATCTTTCGGCTTACTAAAACATTCATAAAGGTGACACTGCGGTAGCTCTTTTGAAAGCCGGCGCGGAAACAGACAAGAAAGATGTAGATGGCTGCCTTGCGTTGGACCTTGCCCCTGATAGTCAGGTTAGTGATCATTATTCCCCCGTCTTATTGCGTACCAAGCTCAAGACGTTTAGGTCAAGAAATATATAGTTCAATGGGCCGAGATGGAAGGTATCGATTTATAGCACGCTACTGGCAGGAATTGAGTATGACTGATGAAAATAATGATATCCAATTGCGTCTCAACCTCTTCTTACCTAACCTCTTTTGAGATTCTAGTTCAGAATGTCAGATTTAGAGCCTTGGTCAAGCAGTGTCGGGGTTGAATTTGATGTTGAAAATTGGCATTTCCTTGAACTAGATATTCGTTTAGTCTGATTCATCGCCCCCTGTAACGCTGCGATTCATGTGCCATTCTCTTATTTGCAGGTAAGTTGAACGTTGTCAGAACGCCCTCCCTATGCGTGGTATCAAGTATTAGGTTACTCCTATTTGACTTTAGTGTGAATCAAAAGTCCACACAGCCGCGGCAATTGAATACTACTTGATTCTTTCTTCCCAACTCAACTGAACTGTTTTCATTTATGCGGTCTCTCTGTTGATACATATCGAACAACTTTATATGTACCCAGCAGCTGATTGAGGATGAATCACACCGATGAGAATGACAAGACAGCTCGGGACCGATAGACTGTGCCCTACGCTCGCAGATCAAGCTTCTGTTAGTTTGCACACTCATTGGTTGCATATCACCACTGCATCCCTGACTGATCAGATTGATAAGATAAAAATTAATTTGGGAATCGCGTCCTCGTAAGCTGTGTATGCGTACCCGCAACTTTATTTTTATTACTTATTGTTGATTGTTGTGGCCCTTGAAATTATAAATACTTGAGTGTTATCCGTCCTCCTCTGTTTCTGAAAGTTTTCTCCAATTTGGTCATTGTTCTTCCTGACTTGAAGGATAGTAGCGAAGATGAAATCGAAAATGCTGTCACCGTCTCTAGTTCTGGCTCCGCTATTACCCCTATTGGTTAGCGTTAGTGCAGTACCCGATCAATCACCACTATTACTTCAAACATCCAATGGTCCTAGCGTAGAACATGCCCGCGAAAATGCACCTGAGATTTTTAATGCAATTCATTCGTCTATGCGACAATGGGGATCTTCTCTGAAACATTATGGGATGTACTTTTTCCCAGCATCGGTACCAAAAGGAACTCTCTTTTACCATGGAACCCACACATCCGAGCCGGTCGAAGGGATGGAATGGTTAGCTTTCGAGATCGAGCATGCGGAAGTATTTGCACGTCCAAGAAGAGGCCGTGGCCCTGGGGATCCTGGAGGTCCTGGAAATCATGGACCAAGTAAAGGGAAAGGTCCTGGAGGAAAACCTCCTGGGGGACCGGGAAGAGGTCCTCCTCCGCATGAACGAATGGACAGTCATCCCAGAACCAAACCCAAGCATGACGATAATGTTCATGATTCAGAAGACAAAGAAGAAGATAGCCATGGTTACCTCCACACCTATCGTATCTCCAAGCCCCTTGCCAAACTCATCTACATCGATGGAATGTCCGCCGGAAAAACCAGCATGGGAACCCTTGATTCTACAGACTACATTATTCGCGATCTTTCCCCCACTTCTACAGAGCCAAACAATGATTGGATCCGTGCAGCTGATCTTTGTAAAATTGGCGAGGAATATGGTATTGAAGGATTTCTTCGTGTGGAAGCGGGATTTGAAATTATCCTCTGTAGTTTCAAAGATGGGCTTGAGTTTTTAGGTGCCTCTCAGAGAGACGACAAATCTGGAGGGTTTGAAAATGGGGAAGATGATGTGAGACATTTTGAATATGTGAGGGCCTTGGAGTATAGGTATCAGGGTATCATGGGAGGGAGAGTAGAAGTCGATTATTCTTCTATGATTTCTGCCTTCTTTTATCCTCTCAACATTGCTAACTCCGATCCTTCTCGTTCCGCACTTCCTAGATTGGTCGAACCTTCCGAATCGGGTGATTTGAAGAGAATTCGCTCTAATGTTCTGGAATTGTTCAAATCTAGAGAATACGAGAAGAGAGAAACAATCAACTGGCAAAATGTTGTGGATATGATTATTACGAGGAATTCGGATCGTCTCCAATTTATGGTTCAAAACAAAACGTCAGAAGCGGCGTTATTATCGGAGATCAAACTGCTGTTGGATATTCATACGGATTATAAGAAGATTGATATTCCTTCCTCGATTGAGAAATGCGCGAATCACTATCTAGGACCGGTAACATCGAAAACAGAGGCAGATCATTTGATTCATGCTGCTATTCTTAAGGTGTCTCGTGTTATTTGCAGTACTTTGTTTGAAGTCAGAGAATTAATAGGCAGTGATGAAAAGGGTGCAAAAGAGGAGGAAGGGAAACAATTGATCAGAGAATTAATCAATGAATTAGACTGGACTACTTGGTTGGAATGTAGAAAGTATAGTTATGAGGAGGTGTGTTTCGTGGCAATCTGGCCCTGGGGAGGTTTGGAAGATCACGTTTCTCCGGGCTGTATTAGGAGGGGTGACATGAGTGATCGAAGGGGATACTAGGATTGGGGACATTAGTGTCTGGGTAGTTTTGGAAGAGGCTAGATACCCGTAGACTTTTGATTATTCGATAGAGGAGAGTGGATATATGGTTGTGTTTGTAATATAGTGACAATATACGGGATTTATACACAATTGAATTAGTATTTAATATGTTTCAGTTCGACGAATATCGAAAGATTTTACCAATACTTTCGAGCTACTTCGTATACTACTCATCATTTCCAGGAGAGACCAAGTAGATCTTCCATGCAGTAAAGCCATGGAGGGTGCAGCAGAATCATCGGCAAGTACAATCAATTTTATATCTTTATAATACTTAGTTACTTGTATAACTTTCCATTCGGCATTTTGTCTAAATACCCTCTCATTTCATCTAACTTCTCTCTCTTGGGTTGGCTTGATCTGTAGTGATCTCGTTTTCAGTCTGCGCTCGAGACCAGTTCGAGTGATCTTGCAATCTTTATTGCTGAAGCAAATATCTACATGTACTTTATGTTGCACATGTGCAATCACATATCGATCTACAATTCCCAAATATCTTTGCATGAGTCTCAAAACACATACCTGTCGTGTGGTTGCTTCCAACAGACGCGAATTCTGTAGCCCATGGTGATATTAGGAAATCCTTTTATCAGACAAATGATATGCTATGATGGAGACTAGTATAGATGAAGGTACAGAACTTAATGAGCATGCAGAGAGAAGATTGGTTGTGGAGTTGGTAATGTTTTAATTCGTTGTGGACAACAATGCATCGATGCCTAATGCGGACTAGAACCTTCTCCCGTAAGCGCCCGAACTTCTTTTTTACGTCAACTAGAATGGAAATGATGATTTTTCTAGCAACTTCGCAAGAACTTTACGATAGACTAATTTCATTGTGCGATCTTGTCAACTAGAACGGACTGATGAACGTCCTTAGATTCATCCTTGAATCCAAAATCTACGTGTTATAATTCCGAAGAGCAAATTCACTTCACGCCTTAAGAGGCACGATGCTATTGGAACAAACTGAACTGAAGAAGTTTCGTAGATTATGATTAAACGGCTTGAGGTCCAATTTTCCAAAACATCGGTACTTTAACGTGCCGCAGAGATGCCAAGGACTAGGAATATTCTATGAAAAGGGTTAGCGACAATCTAGGATGGTGTTTGGCTTCTGATGGGGGTCTTGGTGGAACTTATTCTTTCCATTGAACTACCATCGTGTTTAGAGCTCGTGACAAACAAGTTGTATCTTGTGAAGCATTCGAGAAGGAAGCCATGGAATTGGAGAAAGGATAGAAGCGAGTGTTCTTTGATCAAAGTCTCTGGTCAACTCCTGCATGGAGGTCCTATCCTTGATGACCGTGAGGGAAAGCAATTAAAGTCTCAAATATACTCATTTGCACAATCATTCACCTCATGTTACCATTCAGTCTCACAGACATTCTCTAAGCCATTTGCGTAGCTCAGTTGTTGCGAAGTGGTTCGGAAGCTGGGACCACCAGTGGGTGCATGGATTGACGGGACACTTCCCACCTTTTGAAATTTTTAATAAATTCATTCTTCAATTGTTTGATATCAAAATTCACGTTCTAATTGTTTCATTTCTAGTAAACAATTGTGACAATTCTTAAGATATAGGAGTTTACATGTTAAGAGATATTCACAAGTCAACCTTTGCAGTGTCCCGTCAGCCCGTACACCCACTGGTAGACCTATCTCGCTGTTATTGAAATCAACGACAAACAATCCGATTGACAAACACACCATATGCATTGCAACGACTCAAGCACCGAAGATGATATAATATCGTGTGCCGTCGCCTTGCGTTTTTGTTCTTCAGTGTCTAACTCAGTGAGCCGAGAGCAGCACCGGTTCAATAATCTGACTACGTACAGTTAAAGTTCCGTAATCTGCCCTAGGCAATCGCGTAGTCTCGAGATGTATATAGTCGGATTTTCTTCATTCCTCAATACTGTAAATTCTTTTACTCATGATTGCGAGCGACTCTTCAACTTCATATTGTTTATTATTTCATATCTTAATAATCTATACTCCACCACCCTTTCGGTGCCGAACTCCGTTCATTTTGGGTAAACATCCCGGCACAAGCATATCGGTAGCCTGGCTATATGCAACCTTTAGCAATATACCTGACTATCTACGTGTCAATTGCTCACAATAACCCCTCTATGTTCGGATTCCCATATGTAAGAAACGCATTTCGCTTTGATGGTGGACTTGCAATCCTCAGCCTTCTCAACTCATTTTACTCACCGGCTCACCGCATGTTTATGTTTGATTTTATCATTCTACAGTCGCAGATCAGGCCTGCTTATGCATATGGAAAAATGCAACTCCGTGCATGTATCAGGCAGCATATCCTTATTTTCTCATTGTTTGACCTTTATTGCCTTCAAATGGCCATTGCAAAGCCTCTGTTCTATCATTTCGGGTGCGAAACACTTGTTGCAACTTGAAATACTATGTTCGCAACAAGTTTTCGTCGTAGGAAGTTCTCAAGCTTTCTATGCTATCGTCCTGGAAAGGCATCGTTGCCTTGATATGCTAGGTCTTCGAATCCTTGGCAATTCTCTGGCCAGTTTGCAATCTCGTTTCCTCGGTACGGCTAGAATTCAAAATATTGATGAGTGAGTTGTGATAATGGAACAGGGCGCAGTGTCGTTGTTCTCTTTTCATAAACAAGCAGGGTATACTACGATTCTGCCTGGATGCCCTCAAAACACCCTTTTGAGGTGGCATGTCGTCGACCAACCATTGCTTTTTAAATTCAACCCGATAGAACTACGCCTCCTTACTAGATTCATTGTGGAGATATTTTCTAGGAACATGTCTATCATGTATGTACGATTGATTAACATGATTGCAAGATCTGTATCACACATGGTCAGTTTTTTGATCTCTCATTGACGTCGTCGTTCCTTACCTGCTTGATGCACCACCTACCTCTCAACACCATATATTGCTGACGAGCCCCTCCCAAATTGCAATAAGCTTTTACGGAACCAGTGCGAGTTCTCTCTCTTGCCAAGCTCTTTTGACATACATATTTCTCTACAATAACGAACCGATTTTCCAGCTCTTATACTTATTCAGAAACAAACCTAAGCGCGTTCTTTTACTACAAATATCATTTATCTGATTGTCACAAAATATCTATGTCAATTTCATCCAGCTTCCATTATATCAGTTCCCTACCGGCCGTGAATACCACCGGTACTACTGACCACTGCGAGGAGGTTGTAGAATACTTTTCGAAGCTAGAACACGCAAGCGACTTACAGGGAAGTGAAAGCACTGGCATGGAATTCGCGCAAGACTGTGACAACCATTCATCGGCTCAGATACCGTCACAAATGAAGAATGATAATAATACTGGACACAAAGAGACTTTCGATTCTTCTTCAAAAGTCGAACCACATATATCTCCAAAGTCCAAGCATTCTTTTTACATTCACGGTGACGTGCCTCATGACTATGGCAAGCTCAACCAACATGCGTACCCTGGGTTCCCACAAAGTCTAGAATCTCCTTCGCATAAAAATTTACACACTTCCTTGCCTATCCGCTCTTTTCAAAACGATGTGGCAAGTAGTGCCTCAATCCCTCCAGCCTTTCGGTCTCACGATTTTGAAGACGGTGCAAATCCAATATCGAAATTCTAACTTTTCACATCTTCTCCTTGCGATCTTGAATCTCGTACGGATCTACTTCAAGGTGATTTTGAAGGTCGACTCGGTACCAGAGTCTATCAAGGAGAGCATTCAGCGAATAACTCGATTGCGCAACTCAATTCATACCGAAAAGCCTCCACGGAGGGTCACTATCAAAATCAAAACTTCTCACCAAGCTCATCCCCATATAGACCTGTAAATTACAATCATTATGGCTCCGGTTCTGCCGTTGTCTCCTGACAAGATGACTCTGAACTTTATTAGGTACAACCTCCTCCAACACTTAAGTCACATTATTCAATCACGAACGCTGTACCTTTGGGCACAGCGCCGACCTCTTCACGCACAAACAGACCGAATTTTTTGACTGTGCGACCCAATGATATGCGGAGAATCTCTTCTAGGGTCCCGGGTACGCATTGGAGCGGTGACATTCTGTCCAACAATTTACCACATCCATCGAATACGTCGATTTCAAGCTAAGAATATCAAAGCTATAGTGACGCAAATACTTCAGATGAGAGTACTTCCGCCTCGAGTTTCTACCCCTCTCATACCTCTCAATCACCTTATGCTCAAGTCGCATATCAACAACATGGTTCCAATCATATAGATTCTCATTCACCAACGCTTTCTTATCCCTCGAGCAGCGTCCAAAATCAAGGAATTCATAGCATGGGAAGGAACAAAAGCTCAGACCTTGATAATATGCGTACTGTCGCAATTGATCAACTCTGCTCGATAAGCTTTCCAAGCGTATGTCTGCATCCTCAATGTCAAGGCAAGCAAACCAATAAGCCCAAGTTATACAATCGATACTAACACTGGCAAGATCATTTCAAACATGCTCACCACAAGCAATATCTTTGCGGCTTACCTAGTTATCCAAATAGCGACAAGAGGTATGGCACAGAAGCAGAAGCCAAGCGTCATCGGATTTCTGTTCACCGTTTTGGTAAGGCAGATGCTAGGCACTGGGACTGCTAGGTCCCAAATTGCCAACGTAGTACTAGAGTGTTCACGAGAGGCGACAAGTACAAAGATCACCGTGATAGATGGCATGGGCCATTCTCCTGCCAGTACATAGGGTGTGTGAGAGGGCCTGATCATGGGTTCAAGGATCAAGATGCACTTAATAAGCATGGTCGAAAAGAGCATAGACGAGGTTGAGGTGCTTAGCCTCTGACTCTTTTGTGTATATATAAGCCTGTATGAGTATACTTATCTTCTTTTTCTACATAACCTCGAACCGAATTTTTTTCTTTGAAGTATTTTCTAATTTTCTTGGGTATAGACTTTCTAATCTGGGGAAAATTTTATGTGAATCAGGGCTATGATCTTACACCATAGTCAATACATCTTCAGGCATTTACTATAAAGTATTAGCAAGAAACCTTGCTCAAAATTGAGTTCACGGATAATTTCGGCGACTCTGCTCTATCTCGCTACCTACTACTTTTGACGACACCTGGTTGTGCGTGACTCGAAAATTCAAGCCGTCTTGCACGATTATTTACCATGTCAGCCCCTTGCAAGTCAATCGTAGATTGATAGAAAGTTCGAAAGGCTCGCAGCCTCACTACTTATTAGCACTTAATATCTGGTAGCTAGTTCTTCCGTACCAGCACTCGGTAAGATTAGCGCCATCTTTCACCGACCTTACTTTTAGAGTGGGGTGTAAGCATGCCTATTTTAGATAATTCTCTATATGCTTCCATCATGCGGCGTTTCCGAAGTGCATCGGAACAACATTCAATCGTTTTCGTAGTATTCTATGCTCCAAGCCTCATCAACCAGGACATAAATTCAGGACATACTAGCACCCTCTCTAGTCTCTGGTGGAATGTCAGGCTTAATTACTTTTGATTGGTAACGATTCTCTCATGCAAATACAGGGGCTTTAATGCCCCATATGCAATATCAACAGATTTTGGACAGAATGGCACGTTGACTGTAGGCTGACCGGGCGAAGTGTATAAAAAAGATTATGCCCCGTTATGAGCCTTTTGGATTGCATGTCGCAAGGCTCCGTTCTTGGAAAGTGGCATTGTCGAATATAATTAAGCAAAGAAAGGGAGCTAAATGTTTGGGGCATTTCGTCCAGATCGCCCTGGGAAGGGCGAAATGCCTAGTTTCGACAGATGCGGTCATCATGACATCGTTTGGCAATTATTGGAACTTTGAACGAAAATTGCAGTGGGCTAAACTATAATTTCTATCCTTATTGGTGCGCGGAGTCATCCTCGGCGCTACTCATCATCGCCGAAATGGTTTGTTTTTCTCTCTGCTGGGCGACTCTTTCTCAAGCACTGAGTGTCCAGATGCCTCTATCTACCGAGTAGCTACGCCTTTCCAGTCCAATCATTTGCGGCGTTCCTAGCTATATAAGAGTGCTTCATGTTCTCATGTTATCACTTCTTCAGGGAGAATTATTGCCAACTCATTGTCGACTCTGACACAGAGCGAGGTATTCGAGCAACGAATCGTCAGGTTCCAGCATTGAGTTCACTTCTATCTTTATATATATCTCAAAGGATATATCTATCATACACTGTCGTCTTAGAAGTAACATCATTCTGATCCTCGCCAGTGCTAGAACGATCGATTTTTAAGGTTTAACCTCCAGATCACAATACTCACTTTTGCTCTAGGTAGCTGTTTGACTCAAGTATGGCTTGGACCGAAAAGACTCTGAGGGTTGTACAAACGGAGGGAGATATACCTATTGTCCGAAGATGATCCAGGTACAACTGCTGCACAATCTATTCCCACATACTGCAGGCCGTCTCTCGGTCCGTGTCTTTTAGAAAGGCGATCTTCCGAATGAATCTAGTATATTCAGATATGTGTTCTTTCCGTAATTAGATGCGTAAGTAGCATCTTACTGTTTTGTCCAGACTTTTGAATCATAGGCTAATCAATACAAAGAAATATTTTAGTAGGGAGAATGCGAGTGTACCATTTCTTGTCGGTTGAGTTCAGGGGAAACGACTCAGAATAGTACTGGTATAGACTGCTTGTGGTGAGATAAAAGCAAAAAGGCAACACGAACCCTTCATTTTCGTTTTGTTCTGAGTACGATGTGTTTCAAATCAGAGCCTTTTTAGGCTCTAGGCTGGCTATCTGCTCTAGCGTTTTAGAGAGCCAGAATTTGGAGCAAAGCTCTCCGATATTCCAGGTGGTTTATCTGGCTTATCTGTATTCCATGTAGTAGCTAGGTTTGGACAGAATCTCAATATTATACAATATTTCTAGAAAACGGTTTTCCATTCCTCATTTTCTCCCATGTTCTGGGCGATTTCCTGACAATCTGCCTTGGTTTTTGAGGCTTCTGCAATACATCAATTCAATAGACAAGGTATGTAGATTGCCCCAGAAGCTGCCCTATTTGCCCTAAGTATTCCCATTACCAGATTCACGATCTTGATTGGAGGTATGAAGCACTGCTCCTTTCGGTGAGCTTGACTTACTTCAACTCACACTGTAGGTCAGAAGAGCTTGATGCTCTTGGTATCATGCCCTTGGGTTACCCCAAGGATGCCCTAACTCTTCCACTTGGACCTTTTATAATATAGAATGGCCTTGAAAACCCTTCTTTCTATGAATAAAAAGAAATACTCAACGTCTTCATTCTTTAGGTGGCAGTGACAAATTAAAGCGCCATCAATCTTTTAAAAATATTTCCTAGTTTCTTGATTACTCTTCAAGAAAATATTGGCGAGATGACTTATCACGACGACCAATTGACAAATCCCACTTGGAAGGAACAGTACATCCACGATCCTGCTCTTCATCAACAGCCAGAAGGTTCGGTAGCGTGTGCTTCTAGGTCTTCACCAAGATTTCAGCATCAGGATTCAGTCATTACCCCAGACTATAGCACTTTTGCGCCTGCATTTATTACCGCAACTTCCATCCAACCCGCGGTACAGATACATCAACCATACGCGTATTCATACACCGTTGGAGGTTTACAACACGGCAACCAAATTCAGCCATATGACTCCCAATCTCTGTACTTTGATCGTCCGACCATGTCGGCGGGCATCGAATCTCAGGAAGCTTGGCCTTCGGAAAATCACCATCAGCAACAGGCCACTTATACACCCACATACACACCCGCGTACGCACCTGTTGGCGGAATCCCTCTAGAACAACCTGCAGCAAGTCACAACCCGTCTCCTCAAACTACTATGCAAATCAATACCTCGTATGATACGAATGCGAGTTCAGACATCTGGAGCCCGGGTGTCTGTCCACATGCAAGTTGCCTTTCAAAACCTTCGGACAAGCAAAAGAACTACCGAGAACACTCGGATTGGCGACGTCATTGGTATCGGGTACATGAAAAGCAACACCAATGTCCGATTGATGGTGCCATGTTCGGAACGGCCAATGAGCTCAAACGCCATGATGAAGCTATACATCAAACAGGTGCCAAAAGGCATTACTGTCACGTTGCAGGATGCCAAGCTCGTGCGAGAGAGTTCAACAGGAAAGACAAATTTCAAGAGCATAATGACAGATGGCATGGACCTTACTACTGTTCTGTTTCTTACTGCGATCGAGGATATGGCAATGGATATAAGGAAGAGGGATTGTTGATGGATCATATGCGCATTCGTCATGATGCGTGAGACTTCTTGTAGAAGATGGCTATGAGAGAAATGATTTATGACAGGTATGAAGACTTCTTTCAGCTGAAATAATGCATGGCTAACATCACATTTTTTAGAAGTTTTAAGACGGGTCTATAACCCGGTAGCATAGCGCTGGCATTTTATTTCGGTGATGATTGATGATGATCTTGTCAAGGGCGACGGTTGTGTTTGTGTTATATATTGAAGGGAATCGTGTTTGTTTGCTGACGATACCCACGATTTTGTACACGATGTGTAGATATCTGTCTTCTGGATTTCTCGTTGAATCATTTCGGTGGACTTTTCAATTCTTTCAAATAATTATATCTATAATCTCTCTCATGTATCTTTGAGGTGATGTCTATCGTGTTGTGAAAGTTAACGAGCTTCGCCAAGAAAGCGTGTTTTGCTGAACCATTGTATGGGCCTACTTGTGGCAGCGGCCTAACCAAGTAGAATTTCGGGACATCAGCAGATGTTTTGAGCAGCGATCTGGTGGACTACCAATATTTAGTGGATCAGTCTAGGTACCCGACGGAACCATTAATGTATTGAGAGCCATCCCAGTATATGATTACTCAAAGGACACCCTTACGGTAGCGAGGGTAGGATTGTGAGTGGGTTGATGCTCCATTCCATATTATCGGCAAACGGTGCCAGTTGTAAACCTGAAGTCCTTTGCAGAATAGTGAGAGTAATAAACAAATGTATTTCAAACTTTGTCTGCACCAAGACTTCACAGATATGTCCGAATCACGCTGCAACGCAAGCTTTGACAAAACCTAGATAGGTCCACGTATTAGAATCTATGAAGCCCAGAAGCCATTCATGTTGATCTATTGACTTGTCGCTCAGAACATACATAGACGGTGATGTGGATTGGTGATTTCGGGGGAACTGGTGGTCCGAGACCTACTGACTGACTGCTACTGCAAAAAGCAAAACCCACGCTAGTGATTGACCTCACACGTATCTCGACTTTACAATATTGACGCCAACAACACTCTGGATACTTGCACGGCTCTCGCAGCGGCTATAGTATGATGACAGTATGCAAACAATTGAGATTTTTGACATAGTTCAACATCATTCTCCCATAAGAATTGCCAGGGTTCCAAATGTCCGAGTTGCGTGTCACTTCCCCCTGCGGTGGCCAGGGTCTGGTATGATGACTGCTGCCCATTAAAGAATTGCCTCTGACTTCACCGTCGTTGATTACAATTCCTGTGAGGCATTGTTTTGTTGCTGCCATCAGTGTCGCAGTAATGTCAATGATCGATGTGCTTCACACCGTTTGGGCGGTTGTGATAGGCACAAACATTCTTCTTTGGCATTTCAGGAATAAACTTTGCCCCCAGCGTGCATTCCGCTGCCCAGATTCAATTTGAACAATAGAACTTATTTGTCTGACCGATTAGAATTGACTTTATTGGACGTCTTGGATACATTCAAGCCCGAATTGCGTTGTTGCTTATGGGGAAGCATAACTTTTTATACGTGGCTGGCCTGTAAGCTCGGTGACCTATACCTCATACAATCGCCCAAGGCGCTTTAACAACGCGAGACAAAGAACGAAGTATGTTCCTTGAAGTTTGGCAGTATCTCATCGCCGCAAATGTAATCGCCCTAGGCGATTCAACCAAAAAAATATAGAAGGGTAGAACATCCGCTCGTCTAGAATGAAAACACTTCAAAACTCTCGGTTACTGTTGACCTCAGTCTCATAAGTTAAAGAAGACGGATCAATTCGAAATACGCGAGCTTATTAATGTCACTGGTATTGCCAGTATCTCAAATTCGGACACAATGAATTACTCGGGCCCACCACCAATTGTCGTTGCCGAATCAATCGGTCGCTACAGAACTACCTTCATTGACACTACATTCAAGGTCAATTTCCTTGAAATCGCAACGCGAGATTTTGTAATTTGCCCATCATTGCCCATCATGTACAATTACCCCAAACACTCATGCACCAGTAACCACAGGGACAGCTCCCTCTCCCAATGTGGTTTGAGCTTCTACTACTCTTCATGAGGGCCGGTTCTGAACGGAGCTTTATTAGGCAGGCAAGGAGAAAAGGCTGTAATGTAGGTAATTTTCTTAATTTCTCTACCTTAGCCTCGCCATATGCTAGGAAATTTACTGGATTATTGAGATGTACTTCATTTTGGGAGTGTTTTCCGTTCTACAGATGCAAGTTGTTTATTTCATTTTAGCTTTTGTTTTGATCCATTTGTTCCATTGAAATTGCTACATCACAGTTCTCCCCGATATCAACTTTTTATCTTCAATGTTCAATCCTCACGGTCACCAGCCTTACCTCACAATTTTCGATAAGCCGCCCTTTCTCTCTATGTTCTTTGCCCTTTTCCTTCTTGAACATACTTTGCACTGCCCAATGCTGAGATTCATCGATGTTCTCGTGATAATTACTTCATTAGCCGCAATTCAATCTGTGAGACCCCCAATTGCCCGGCTTCTGGCTACCAATTAATACCAGTCGCTGTTGATCTGAGGCGGATATAACGAGGGGTTGGAGCATTCAAATTGTCTTTTAGCAAGAGAGTCTCCCACAGCCATAATGCCCTTTTCCCCATAGTACAATGCTCAGCCAGTTTTGCCCATAATGTTGAAAAGTAACATGGGGTGTATAAGATCTTTCTATTGCCTACATGATATCCATACATAACATGTTGAGTATCTATAAGGAATCTGAGGCCCGTCACGAATTTGTGTCTTTTCTCATTTTGATTTAGAAGCATAAAAGTATCATAAGCCCTGTGCAAACCTTCATTCAATAAGAACTATAAGCCTTCGGTGAGTCTTATCAATGGACACTATATACTTTAGGCATTTGAAAGTTGTGTTTTTACTAATGATGAATTTCCGCAAACGTAGAAACTCATTGAGGGTTGCGGAAAACTAATTGCGAAAGATTACCTCTGTTTGACAAACCGCTCGTGTCATCAACTCCACAAGTTGTTGAAAGAGATTGTCTGAGATACCATAAAGAGTCATGGCGTGTAGGTGGTGTGGTGCCAGGGAAGAACAATGCTGTTGTCAGCATGTTCACCGGGTTATACCTCCCGAACCTCGTTACGCGACCACCAACAACAATTTTCGCCCTCAAAACTACTCAAGCTTATTAAACCATGAAGCCTATATTAACATTATCCCCCGCTATTCTCAATCAAGGGATTCAAATCCCATTGGAAGTGAATCCACACACCAACTTCAAGAGCCAGACATCTCTTATTCCAGTGGGTACGCACCATCTACTGATTCATTCTGCCCTTCAACTGGACAAACCTGTGATTCCTCATCTCTCTCTTCCGATCCAAGAGCTTTCACCAACAATGCGCATTTAAATGGATCAAGTGTTGGGTGGGCGAAACAAATTCAATTGGGCGATGAAGGAATTCAATTGAGCATTGCGAATCCATGGCAGTCAACTGAGCCGGAAGCAGGGTGGCCAAGTTTGGGGACTCCAGATGCGCAACGCTCTTTCGATATTACATACCCCTCAACTAATTTCACTTCGATGAAAAGCTCGCAGCCATATCCACCTGGTGGGTATGATTTATCAGGATGTGCAAACAACCGGGAGCAAGATCGAAGTCAGCAGAACAACCTTGTGGCCTCAGGAAATGAAGAAATACATGTCGCAATGGAATATGAGAGCCATGAGAGCCGAATAAACCAGCCAGGTACTGTTTTGAGAGGTTCTGATCCTTCTGGTACATCGGAGGCTCTTTATTCTTCCGTCAATACAGCCCAACCGCAGTATTCCTCCTCCTATTCGTACGACCATTCTCAAATCCAGGAACCTTTTACCGTAGTCACCACAAATCAAGAGCCAACATCGTTGGATAACCAAGCCGAATATTCATCATCAAGCGCTATAAGCGATTCGTATCAGCTTCCTTGCATATGTCCACATCCAAAATGTAGGCGCAATAACAGCACAAAGACTTTTACAGAGTCTTCTGGCTTTCAAGCACACTGGTATAGATCACACGATAAACGATTCTCGTGCCCAGACTGCAAAGCAGTATTCGGGACAGCTGCGGAGGTCAGGCGTCACTCGACGGCTATACATGTCGACGGCCCCAAGGAATTTACTTGCGAGATCCCACGTTGTGCTGGCCGCTCGCAGGAGTTCAACAGAAAGCATCGCTTGAAGGAACACATGGAGAAATGGCACGGCTATTACTACTGTTCTGCTATGGGTTGTTCTCGGGGTCGTGGGCACGGTTTCAAGGATCAGACATTACTGAATGAACACCTAATCAAATCCCATGGCCATGGCGGATTTCGGTAAACATGTTGTCAGAAGTTTCAAGCGGCAGTGAGCTTTTAAAATTGACCTTCCATTGCGGAAAGAGATCAATGATATCAAGTATCGGGCTCGCATGAGATTGAAATAACGGTACGAAATCACAGGATCACACTCTTTTGAACTTTGCTAAGATTGTTTAGGTTTATTTAAGTCAAATCGCAGCCTAGCCTCAACTCACAATATGAGAAACAAGATCGGAAGAGTGGGTATAGAACTCGTGTAAGTCGATGTCATTATTTCGAATGTCAGGATCGACACTGATGTCGACATCACTCAGATATTCAAATGTGCCATTGAATTAATCCCTTGCGAGTATGGGATTTGCTTAGACATTCTCATACCATTTGACGAGTTGATGATGGACTATGATTAACAATTTCTTTATGATGGATTGAAGTTTTCGGGTCTTTGGTTTTAAATGTCTTGAACTTCTATGTCACTGGTTCTTTCAAATTACAAAATCTTCACGCTTTTCATATCCAAACCACCTCTGCCAGATCAAGAAGTTATGACGCAAAGAACGCGGCTCCAACTATTCAAGGTGATATTTTAGTAAAGATACCGTAAACTAGGATCTATAAAGATGACTCGGATGAGGCTAGAGCAACTACTTGATCGATCCAAATTTAGAGAGTTTGCAAGTAGTCCAAATATTTAAACCCACAACTTTCCCCCTTAGCAAAGCTGCTCAAAATGCAGCACATTTGTTCATTTCTTCTTATTTTCCAGCGATTCCCTCTTGTGGCCAAGTAAAAAGACTCCCATCGAGATTAAAAGCCGAAGATTCTGCCTCGAAAATTACCTTGCGAGCAACACAGCCATGTCTCGAAGAAATTTTGATCAATCAAATTGCGGCAATTGGGGATACGAATCAGCCTCACATCGCACATACAGACCTTGCAGTAGTGCATACAGCGATGGACAATGCCCCAATTCCCCCAAAGTTCCAAGGTCCTGCCTCGACACTGATGTACACGGCAGCGTCGTACCGAGAAACTTTACCAGCAGTGTGCCGGATTTTATCGAATTAAATTGTGCCTACTCAAATTGGGACATTGATCAAATCTTGTGAGTGACCACTCCCCGCAGGACGAGCCTTGTTGTGCTGACAGGGCATTTTCGCTAGTCCAATTGAGGAATCGTTCCAGAATGCCCCAAACCTCCCCTTTTCCTCAGCCGATTGCGATTTTTCGTTGCCTAAATTTACATGCGATCCTAAAATCGAAAGTTCATGTGTTCCAATGATTTACGATTTTGAAATATCTGAGGAATTTGATTTTGACGATTCTTGGTTGACTGGCGCCGTCTCTTCACCATCGCTTCCTTATGCTGAACAATTTCAATTTTGTAGTCAGACGTCGAGTTGTAAGAAGCTGCCAAACATCCCAACAGGCGCTGGAACATCGGCTCAAGATAGCAAGTATGCTGATCTTTTGGAGTCTAATTTCTGCGGACCAGATCGGTGCCATTGGGATGGATGTACTTCAAGAGCAACATTCGCTACCCTCAAAGCTTTCAACAAACATTTAAAGAATATACATTTGAGTCCCTTAGTCTGTGACTTTGAGGGTTGTGGCTATCAGAAACCATTTAGAAATAAGTATGACTTGGAACGACACCGACAAACTGCACACGTTCGTGCACGTAATCACGAGTGTCCATTTGTACACTGTGGAAACATAGGGTTCGCCCGCAAAGACAAACTGTGGGTTCATATCCGGGAATGTCACGATAAACCATCTACCGTCAGCATGTGTCCTGTAATTCACTGCGGGAAAATAGTTGAGACGCCTATCTCCGAGCACATGCAGAGAGAACACGGAAGCTTTGAATGCAGGTTGAGCAGGTGTGGAACAAAGCAAAGTCGCTTCACGGATATTCAACTCGAAAGTCACTTGAGAAGTGCGCATGGATTGAATTCTGGGGAAGCGTCAGAAGCTGTTGGTGCGGCCAAGAAAACTCCAGATAAAACGATACGGAGAGGAGAGCTCTACACAAAATCGGGGATTAGAGAATGTGCCATTTGCAATCTCTGAACGTTTGTTCAGGTAAAATTATTGTATACATATGACGATACGTTCAGGGGTGGTGCACACTGTAAATGCAGGAGGCGGGATTTTATATGGGCAAGAATGTGTTTATTTCATGCATGAATTTACTGGGTTTCTTATGTCTGGTCACTTTCTTATCTTATAGACGATGAGCGGCAAGGAGGGATGGTCAGTGATAGTTCTATAATTCTGCTTATATCGATAGCTTATCACATCTCGACTTTCCCAAAACTTCCCGCGTATAAAGGATCCCGAATATTGGGCAAGTTAGCACAGTCGTCTGAAAGCTTTTACCTTATTTCTTGATAAATGGTACCTTTTAAGTTTCACATTGGGTCTGGGGATATTGGGACAAAGAAGAATAGTTGAAAATATGATATCTGTGGAGTTTTTCAACGTGACTGCACATTCCCATATTGCTTTTGTATTTTATAGGTCTTGTATATTTTTGCCCGTATTATACATGGTACTTTGGCACTAAATTATAATTACTAATGTGATCAAATTCTTTTTCCATCTTTTGTGTGTCGAATACTTATCCTAGTCAGAGAAAAACTGAATCTGCAGATACCAGAAGATCTTTTGGCATCATGCAAAAGTTTGCGACCTCCCTGCAACAGGTCTTTTAGTGGTGAATTCAGATCCACTAGTTGTTTTCCTAGCCGGATATTTCTTTTCTGGAGACTTCCTAACATCACTTTGCTTGGAAATTTTGTCCCTACAGTCGCTCTGCTTGGAAGGTACGACCTTGAGGTCACTCTTACAGGAAATTTTGTCGCAATAATCACTCCGCTTGGGAGGTATATTATTGGAGTCACTTTGACTAGGAAGTTTGTCCCTGGAACCACCCTGTCCGAGGGGTCTCACCTTGGAATCTCTCTGGCTTAAAATCCTTTCCTCGGAACTAATCTGACTAGAAAGCTTGTCCTTAGAACTACCTTGGCTGTGAGGTTTGATCTCACGATGCTTTCCTTCGGTCTGTCTATTGTCGAAATCTTTACTCTCCGATTTTTTCTGCAGCACTTTTGGTGGACTTGTGGACCCATTTACAGGTGCAGAAACCGTTCTGGTTGGCTTTGGCTTTCTCTTATTGAGATCACACAACCAAATGAATTCGTCGTCCTCATTTAGCACAGGCTTACCACTCGTCGGTCGACACAAAATATGGTCCTTTCTCTTAGAATCATATAGCCATCCTTTCGTAGGATCTGTTATCATATCAGTCGAAGATGGAAGCTTATAATCCACTTTCAAGCCTCTAGTATTGTGAGCAAGGCTAAATATATTGTCGTCGAGCCCCTGTTCTGCAAACTTCTCTATCCAATCTTCATAGCCTTTGTAATTCTTTCTTTCAATCCGAATATTTGTGCAAACCTCAAAAAGTTTCGATTTCGCCGATACCTTGTAGTCGGCACTGTACAGAACCCCTAGGGTTTCTTTAATCTTGATTTCGTTGAATCGTACACTGGTAGGACGATGTGCCATATCGGGGTAGTAACGAATGTTCTCGAGATCTTTAACTATAATATCATATGGTTTCTCTCCTCTCTTTTGAACCCTTTTTTTGTATAAGCGTTCATAAAACCATACGTAGTCTTCAGCCTCAGTACACATAGTGACTTTTTTCGTCACAGGATCCCTAACCCTTTCAGCGCTGTGGACAAACTTGAATGCGAAAGGTGCGCATATTTCAACCAGTTCGTCGTCCTCTGTGAAGACAGGTTTCTTGGCATCTTCCCCAAGATCAAGAACAACAACTTTTGAAGTCTGTATGATCGTGGGCCCCATATTGTATCAATCGAGATGTGTATAAATGGTAGGTGAGTTGTAGTTGGGTGTAATCAGTCTTTGACGCATTGATTCTAATCCCGTACTAATCGAAAGAGTGTACGGGATGCTTGAATAAACATTCGCGCTGCCTTTCTTCTAACCGACATGTTGCAGAAAATTCATGATTGTAACAAAAACAACATAAAAAATGCGGGGATTTCCCAAATTTTATGTCTTAGGAGGTCATTTATGAAGGCCAAAGAAGAAATTGCTTCTTTATTGTGCCAAAAAGCCGAGACCAGAAACACCGGAAGAAGCTGGCTTCATAGAAACTTCTAACCTATCATAAGCCTTCAAAAGAAAATTCTTGTAATGTTATCTGATATTTGTGTGTTGGGGTCTAGGTTAAGCAAGCACCAGGCCCTTGCTAACGAAAATTGAACCAACTTTGGGGGCCATTCGGCAAAGATCTAGGTCAATGAGAAGGTGCAATAGGTTCTGAAACAATTGAATGAAGAATGACTGGAATAAAATGATGATAGCAGTGGTTCTTGCTTGCCGTGGTGGCCGCGAGTTATTACCACTAAGCGCCACAGCTCATCTCGGTGATAAAACATGCTGTTCAACATGTCATTGACTTGAACGAGATGATGTTCAAAGGAAAATGCAAATGCAATAACAAAAAAATTGGGTTTTCGTTGGTGGTAAATATTCATCTGCTTAGTATTTAGAGCTACAGATCAAACCCGAAAAATCGACGTCTGTAGGACTTACTATGGGCCTCGGAAACACGCGCGAACTCATGAAGATGAGTATAAGATAAACTACTTATTACTATCATCTGCGAAAATCGTGATTTGTGAGGTAAATTTGATATAGAACATGTTCGTCTTGTCGTGTTGCATAAAAGGCCGGGTCACTGGACTGATACAACTTCAATTGCAGATTTCCTGAAAGCATGGCTCAGCTATGTAAGTCACTGGCATCCATTTGAAGAAAGATGAAGATTGGATCTACAGGAAAGGAGGCCATTTACTACCTGAGTGCTGTGTTTCGGGTGTCACAGTGGCATTCAATAGCTTAAATATTGACAAACTGGTGAAGTGTACTCAACGGGAGCTGATATAACGCCGTATGCAGGAATTGCTCACTGCCATAGATTGAATGCAAGTTTGAGTCTCCTGAGCCCTTGACGAAGATATATTATATTGTTCCCATATATTATCGATAACATCGCTCCGTGAACTCCACGACAACCAATTCTCACGAAAAGTCACTCAACCATCACATCCGTTCAATCAACATTCCACACCCGCCAATAACCCCACATCCCCAGCATTCAACATAATCGAAGCATACATAAAAGCAGCCGACTGCTGCACCGCCCCCATAGTCCCCTCCCGTCCCAACACATCCTCAGCCGCCTTGAACGATTGCATATCCAAGGGTCCTCTAGTCTGTGCCAATTTTACAGCATCTTCACAGACAGCTTTTTGACGAGCCGTCACGCACGACGGACAATCTCCCGCTAGCATTTCTTCAACCTGCGAAGCTGATAGACCTGCTTTATCAGCCAAGATTCTGTACGCGTAAATTTCATACGTCGCTTTGGTGACTGATAAAACGCCGAGAACGACACATTCGACTTCGCTTGTGACGAGCAGGCCCGCTACGGCTAATTGTAGATTCACCTAAGGCTATACAATCGTTAGTGTATAATTGATTCCAACATTAACTTGGGTATGTGATCAAAGCATTTCCAGGATAATACTAACAGCAATATGTTGAAGGGTCCTTGAAGTGATCCATCGGCGTCTTCTGTGACCATAGTATTTTTGTATACAGATTTTGTGATATTTGCCAGATAATTGTACTGAACAAGCTGAGCCTCATCGAGTTTATCACTTGACGGCGTGAGAGGGGGAAATCTGACAGCTCCTGTACATGATGAAGATGACATATCGCAGGATCGAGACGAGGCAGAATGAGGTATTTTTACGGATAAGCAAAGAACTGAGGATACGCAAAGTATAAAATTGAGAGCAATACTCACATATTTAACTAAAGCAAGCCATTATGTCGAAAGATGAAGTTTACATAAACTAGAAATGGAGACAGAAATCTGACATGTACATAAGAAATAAGCGAAGTATGAAGATCACACGTGCATACAAGTATATGAAGAAATTGAAGAAATTCTATTGTGATTCGGTGGTCAAATAGAATCACCCCTGTTCAATATGTGCGGTCGCGGCGCAGGATCACCAGCAAATCTTTTGAAAACTCCACATTTGATATAGGGATGCTGTCACAATACATTGCACTAGTATATCATGAACCCTTGAGGTCTAAAAATGAGCCCATGGGTTAGCTAAGCTGACAACGACTATGTCAAATCGACCTCGGCTAGCATGAGATACATATTGTACCAAATGTTAGAGAAGCATAATTGCATTATATACAGTTATTTGATGAGAAACTAATCCTTGTGACATTGAATGCATGATTGTTCTCAATTCTTTCATGATAGCTCGCTTCAATCCAGGGGGGAAACGTATCACTAATATCCCTCTCAGCCAATCGCACCGCCCTCGAGGCTTAGAATTAGAAAAACGTAGAGGGTATCAAACTTTTCCTTCAAAACAAAAAACTCACATTCATCAGATCCCATATGTTGTCAAGAACATTTTTTACTCCTTAATTATGTATAACATCCCCACTTAGATATATGCAATAACAACGTATCACATGTTGTGAATCGTGCAGCCAATACAAGCGCAGTCATCGCCACAGGGACAAGTGTCCTTCTCGCCAGGGCAAGGAATATCTGGAACGCGATGAATAGTGCAACCTAAACATTGGCAATCGTCACCGCAAGGGCAGCTTTGAGTTTCTCCTCCACAGCCTTCTTCCGCATTGAAAGGATAATTTACGAAAAAGAAATCCGACGCTGAAAGGCTCTGTTCTTCTACAGTTCCGGAAGTAGTACTAGACGGAGTAGCAGGAGGCGGAGAAGTAGGGTTCTCCTTGATAATATCCTGTGTCTGGATGGAAGTAGGTGCAATATTTCTATTCGAGTTGATACGCCCATGTGCGTGACCATTGCTGTACAGGTCCGGTTCGACCCGCATCGATTCCCAAGCTGAAAGGACGTATTGTCTCGTCGCATCGTTATATGGATGAGCTGCACAACCAACACATTGGCAACCATCACCACAACCACATGTGTGAATGGTTTCGGGATTTTGGGCCATTTGAGTTGGATCAAATGTCAAAGGCGCATTGGGAATAGATGGTTGTCCTTGAACATGTCCGTAACTCATATCGTGAACACCTTGGCGCCAGGCGGATGGCTGTAGTGGGTTTTGATAAGAACCATATGTAGCAGGATATGTGAATACGGTAGGTGGGTATTGTGGATATATGGCGTTATTCATCGGAAATCCATTTTGTGGTATTTGTGGGTTCATCATAGGAGTATTTGTTTGGGAGTTTTGAGTCGATGAAGGCTTCTTCTTTGAAGAACAACAGCTTTTAGGTTTAGGTGTAGCTTGCGGAGGTTCTGACATCGTACTGGCATTCGAAGAAGTGTGACTGTGGGTATTTTGTTTGGGCGCACAGCATGAACCACTGTTCGTAGCGACATTATCGATATGAGGTGGGGTTTCTGGAGTAGATGGCGCACAACAAGAACCACCGTTCATTTTAGGAGTAATTTGGCCATTCTTCACTTCAGTTGGTGTTTCGAGGGGATCTTCCACAACTTGATCTAGACTGCTGAGCCCATTCGTGAAACCATTTGTTCTTATCTCTACCATTGGTCCTCCCAAGCCGTGCATAGGCGGAGGTGGTTGAACAGGAACGGTGCCGTATTGCTGTTGCATAATGGAATATTGTGGTGGACCATACCCATAGGGTTGAGGAGCAGTTGACATATGATATGCATTTGGGGGAATAATTTGCAATCTTTGGGTATGTTGATCGAAGGGAACTATGTTGACTTGATTTAAATCCATCCGTTCCAAGTTCACCGGATCAAATGATTGCTTCCTGCTCGACTGTGGCTTCGATGCTGTCTTTTGTATTTTAAATGTGAGTTGCGTCGGGGAAGTAGGGTCGGATATGGAGTTGACTCGTGGTATAGGAGCCGGAGGAGTCGAGACTGGTGTGTCGGTTCCACAGTGGCATGCTTGCTTCCTTGGAATAGCAGCAGTAACACTCCCACAGTTACATGGTTGATCTTTCGAGTGAGGGCATGCACTGAGTGGTCTTCCGGGCTTCCTCACCGGTACCATCAGCCTCTCATTCGCGTGTGTACATTTTGTTGATCGATGGCCTCGAATACATGGCTCACTATGGTGATTTTATGTTAGCATATGGGAAACAATTGGTAGATATGTAGAGTATGTGTATATAGGTGTGTGTGTGTGTGTGTGTATATATCTTTGGTTTGTGAACCACTTCAAATGCATAAATTGATGAACACAACAACAAGGATGAATGGGTCTCAACTTACCAGGCCATTTTCAATCCATTGATTAACGGCATCTTTTCAACAATTAAATGTCTCTTGTGGTCGATCCAAAACTAAGTGGGCTGACCCAAATGGATAGACTTGAAGTGCAGATAAATTCTTTCAGACAACCTTATCTCGGTGGTGATTGTGTTCCGGAAATCACTATGTGCATGCGCAACGACCGCACAGAGGGGAAATCGGAAAGATGATCAGCGTCTGACTTGTGCGACTGATACGGGATGGTTCCTGCGTGTCTCCGAAGAATCTTGAGTCCCCAAGGTATGGTTCGCAGAGGGGAGGGGGAGGTTTCAAGGTGGAGTGAATTGTGATAAATCGAGATCATGAGAAAAAGTAGAGGTACTAGTTAGTAAGTGGTATCAGGCCAGGGAAGAAAAGCTGAATTGAGTTTGATTTATTTTACTTCGGGTGTGATAGGATAATGGGGTGAATTGAATATTGCTGGTCCAACGTAGGGTGGAAAAGTGTTTGAAGCGATCCGAGCTGATAGTAGAATAGGTGAGGTGAGGTGAGGTGAGGTAAGGTAAGGTAAGGTCAGGTCAGGTCAAGTCAGGTCAGGTCAAGGTAAGATGTTAGTAACAATGAAGCCTTGTTTGTTCTTTTTGACCAGTTTTTATTGAGGAATTGTTTATTGAATTTTCTCGAATTTGTTTGTTCTATTGGTAAGGACAGGAGGATGATAAACTTGGACAGATAGATGGAATAATAACGTTTCCCAAAGAATAAAAGAATATTGAATGGAAAGAAGTTGAGTTACTCATGATATCGGTGAGATCTCAATATGGGAGGTAGTAGATGTCGGTAGTATATTATATTATAGTATATAGTTATAGTATATAGTTATAGTATATAATATATAGTGTATAGTATATAGTATAGTATAGTAGAGAATAGTGTGGTGTGTAGTATACTCGGTATGTATGTAGTGCGTAGTGTGTAGTGGGGTGAGTGTGTGAGTGTGTGAGTGTAAGTGTGTGAGTGTCAATATAGAATTGAAAGATGTGCTTGACTTGCATTTGATTTGCTAGAATGGAAGAGTGGAAGCGTGTGGAGAGTGAAGAGGAGTGAAGTTTGAAAGAACCTTGCAAATCAATGAGCAAGTTTTGATTGGTGACTTTTGATGGCCGTGCGTTGAGTTGACTTGAATCTACCATCTACATACAGACATATGTGGACTACAACTACATCTACATCTACAACATCAATACGAGATATACTAATAATTGTCCGCTGTCTCTTATTGCTTACCACAAGTAGAAAGTCTTGTAGGATGTACCCCGTACCAACATCTACCTGGGAATCGATCTTCACTACTTACCTAGTATATATACACAAGGCGAAACAATGGAGTCGATTTGAAAACTTGGAAGGCTGCGCTAGTACTCGGAACAGAGTTGAGATATCAAGATAATGTCTAACGTTGTCTATCTGTCTCTCACTTGCCATAAGAATGTCCACTCAACTAAGAACCCCTTATATCTGGGGGCAAGCCCCCAAACCCCCATAGCTCGCTTCGCTCGAAGATGTTTCCTATACAACAAGTATGTAGCATTCAGTCAGTATAATAGTCTGCCTCCACGGCAGTGGCCCCTGGAGGGCCAGCGGAGCGTCATCTGTTTCATTGATGTACCTTCATCTACTAGGTATCTCTTGTCAAAACTTCCGACTTTTAACTTCATCATTTCTATTATTCTCACTCAAATACGTAGGTGTCTGTAAGTATCCTCTACCAACGAACCATATCCATCAAGGTCATGTAGATCAACTGCTAGAATTGGTGAACTGAATCATACACTAATTAATAAGAGCAAGCCATCTCGGCCGTCACCCGTGCCCGCATACAAGTCAGATCTAATTCAAACCTTCAAGGGACCATTTTCATTCTTCATGCAAGCCACATCCTCTTCCATCACTCAATACCAAAATATGTGCGATAGCTGGTTCGCTTATCTTATCAAAAGGTACATCTATTGGTTAGGTAGGTTGCTCCAACAAGTGGCTAAGTGGCTGGGTAGCTGGGTGGCTGGGTGGCTGGCTTTGAATAAATGTAATGATGGTGGGGTAGTATGAAAATATATTTTGCAATACTCTCTGGGTATCGTAGATTCCGAAACATTAGGAGAAGAAAAAACATTCATAGACGACGAGACGACGAGACGACAACACAACGAGACAACGAAACAACGAAAATTCAAAGTTACAGTTCTCTACTCTCCCCAAAAGCAAGCTTTCATAACAAGGTAAGCAAATTTAACTAAGTATACATTGGGATTCTAGAGCGAGTCTCGTAACTCTATCTACATCTCCATCTCCATCTCGTCCATTTATTCATTCATTCAAGTATCATGTTTCACTCAGAAACAGGTTTAGAAGTTGAGTTGGAATAAGTTTCTTCAATCTGATATTGCCAAACTGTAAGGACTTCACAAATCCTCTGACAAATCTTTCATCTCATGCACTTCTTATTTTTCGCCATTCTCTCAACTGTCCCATTTATTGGTAACTAACACATTGACCTCGTTTCGTCTAAGAAGATATCACAAACATCATTACATACACGTGATTACTTACTCAATTCAATAATCTATCATGGCTGAGTCGGATTTCGAAGATGGTCCCAATCTATTCGCCGAACCGGAAGATTATTATCCTCCATCACCGAAACCAACCACAGAAACCCATACACTACTTTCTGGCCAGACACTTACTCTACATCTGGTCGGTCACAATCCACTTTGGGGTCATCATCTTTGGAATGCAGGTCGTATAATATCCAACTACTTGGAAAAGAATCCTTCTCTGATTACTTCGAAATCAGTACTAGAGCTTGGTGCAGGTGCAGGTCTTCCAAGTCTTACTTGTGCTTCTCTACGTGCCAAAAATGTTGTGGTTACAGATTATCCAGATTCGGACCTCATCGATAATCTCAGAAAGAACATTTCGGTCTTCTATGAGCAATTCCCTGAACTGAGGGTAAATGGCAAGGAAAGCCTGGTTGCTGAAGGTTATTGTTGGGGAGCTGATCCATCTCCGTTACTCTCAATTCTACCTTTAAAAGAAGAGGAGGCTAGTTTCGACGTATTGATACTCGCGGATCTTCTTTTCAATCATTCCGAGCACGCGAAGCTCTTGGATTCTATTAAGAAGACTCTGAGGAAGAGTAAGGATTCTACAGCCTTGGTATTTTTCACCCCGTATCGACCTTGGTTATTGCAAAAAGATATGGCATTCTTTGACTTGGTACGAGAGGGAGGTATGACTGTTGAGAAGGTCTTAGAGGAGAAGATGGAGAAAGTGATGTTCGAAAAGGACAGAGGAGATGAAGAACTGAGAAGGACAGTTTTTGGCTTCGTTGTGAAATGGGCTGAGGAAGATGGTAATTAATCATCAGCATATAATAGCTGATTCCGACAGCTGAGCAGGAAACTTGGAAACCAGCCAGCTAAACTGTACTTCGCTGCCCAGTTCTGCCAGATTTACGTTTTTCTCGCCGTCAATCACGGACCTTGAATACCGCAGATGACGAACGATATGGCCTGCGATACATGCGACAGTTTTTATGCCCCGTATAACCTACTCTTGGCCTATAGTGAATTAGGTAGATCACAGAAGTCATTGCTGTAGAGTAGAACAAAAACCGCTGGTTATTCTGCTACCATGAATGAGTAGTGAGAACTCTGCATTTGCGCAACAATCATATACATATACCCAAAGCCCCACCTTCAAACTGACGGTGCATTCCCACTATCATCAAACAACAGATTCTCGACAACAACTTGGCTACTTGGATTAAAATTTGCACATCACAAATCACGAATGGAGCACCGTAGGTGGCATAAGCATGAGTTACTGAGGCCGCCGATATTAAGTAGATCCAAACTCGACGCAATGAGTCCTTCCCTCCCCCCCCCCCCCCAAGTACATTTCTCCACTACCCAACTCGACTACCTCTCAACTATAATCCCATTCCTTTCGCTCCCAAACATTTCCCGTGAAACAAAGTTGCACCTTTGGCTCAATTTCCATAGTATACTCTTGCATCTTCGGTGATCAATCCGTAGGAGGTTAAAAGACGTGACAGAAAAGGTCAACAGGGTTTTCGTTTGCTAGGACACTGGTGATGATGGTTCGCTCTTCCAATTTCTACTTAGGCCTTTGTTTGATTGCTTTCCGGGCCTTTTGAATTCTGTTTCTGTATCTGAAAAGCATAGAACTGAGTCCGTTGTAGTTGGACTAGAAAGTAAGCGGGGAGAAATAATCGCTTTCGCTTTTTCGGTATTGATTCAAGTGGATGAAAGAGTGTACTAGTTTTACAATGAAATTGTTCCTATCTACATGAACCTTGGGCATTATGTATACCCTTTATAGTGCGCGTGGTTGATAGATATCAATACCAAAGCTCGAGTCGACAGATTGACAAGCAACTCCATATTAGTTTTCCATGTGGGAAGATGGAGAGTGTTGCATAGATGTCAGACCTACCCAGTATCGATGATTGAATTCACACTTCATCGGTGGTTTTTTACAATATGTGTAAACAGAATTGTGCAGTACCTGGGTCCGGTTCAATTTCATGTCATGCCTCTACAAGACGGTTAAAGTGGTGTTCGAAAATGGCAAGCAAAACGTCGTTGAATATACGCTCTAATTATAGTTATCTGAAATTCCATGCGAGCAACAGAAACACATGACTGTGATTTGCTTGAAATCTATTGTCGGTTTATAGGGAGAATATAGACAATAATTATTCATTCCATCGGGGATTTCGCAGGCATAGAGTGGTAGCATGATGTCCACGTGCGTTTGTAACAGTGACAGTCACGTTTGGATGTATCTAAATGGCAATTTTTTCCAGGTGCGTGGTTTGGAATCACCAAGAATGCAAGTGTTAGGTAACTGTTAACCCCAATTTTACAAGTAGTTCTTTGCATTGAAGTTCGACATATCTCATATTGCAGGCATTCTCTTTGGAGTGAGTTTATGGTTTCGAGTGAACATTTCTTTGTTCCGAAACAAGCGGGTATCCATACGAAAAACGTGTTTTCTTACTAACTTTCTTGATTTGTCCATGAATATGCTTCTTTGTCCTCAGAAATCTCGGATAGATCTTGAATACGAGTCTATCCTCCACGTTGACTTACTGTTCCAGTAATTGTATCAATCCACCTCGCACGAAATATGACATTCGTATGTTCTCCATCAATGAGGAATACTTCCAGTGATTCAATTGTTCTCAATGAAAGCATTGATAGATCAATGGACAGATAGCAAGTCTCTCAAGAGATTGCTTAGCTCGATATTCATTAAAGGTGCTCGATCAAAGCAAACATCTGATTCCACAGCCAAGCCTTTGCCCACAATTAATGCGGGTTTTGTCCCTGGGCAAACGCGGATAACAACAACATCAACTTTGGCAAACCAGAACTCGAGCAGAGGAGAGACCTCTTCAATCTCTACGTTCGGAAGCGTATTGCTGAGAAGAATAAGAGAAAGTAGGATCAGTCCTAATGCGGATAGTCCTCTTCGAAGACAACTTCTATCGCCTTCTAGTGTAGTGTTGACTGATGCCACATCGCTTTCGTCTCTACAGCAACAAAATCCTAGGAAATGCCGTACATGCTCTTATGAACCGCCGGTATCAATCATTGACCAGGGAGAACCACCAAGACGAGCACCTATGACCGCAAGGTACCCCGAGATATTCACCTATTTGGGCCGAAATGGGGTCCCAAACTCTGCTCTAGCTTTGACAAATGATGTCGTAAGAAACTTGAACGAAATATTCTACCTCGAGGGACAATTGAATGATCATACCAGAATCATAAGTCGATTGGACCATGAATATGAGTGTGTTGAAATGACTTTGAAAGAACTCAATCAACTACTTCTATCGTCAGGAACCACAGTTCAAAGTGAGCGAGATGCGAAATTGGAAGAGATGAAATATCTTTTCAACGTTTCATCACGCATCCAAGAACAGAAGCTGGAGTTACTAGAAGCTGCGGAAAGCGAATATGAAGAACTGAGCGAGCAGAGAATTATCTTATTCAATATGTTGAGAGACGTTTTCAAGAATCGAAACCTTCTAGACATAGAAGGAAAGAATTCCCGACAGAACCAATTTTATCGTATGCCTACGACACAACTCGCACCTCTGCACAAGACACCTCGAATTTCTACCTGCAGTGAAGAGGCTCGAGAACGTATCGAAAGAGATCAACGAGAAGCTGTACATCATATGAAGGACATGGGTTATCGCTTGGAAGCGACGCCTCGGCGGCTCGATAATTGGAAGCAATATTATGAAGACGAATATGCAGAATATGCACGTGCGGTTAGTAATGGGACAATGGAGCCTGCGAGGAGTTTCTTCGATTTGACTCTATTGCAAGAACATCAGGGAGCAATTGAGGGAGTCATTGAGGCGGAGAATGACTATGAAAAAGCGAGGGCACGAGTAAGGGTGTTGAATGTGGTGCTTAGTGATATTTATCAGTCCAGTGGATTTGCAAACTGTCCAGATGATGGCTATAGGATCTCGATGGAAGAAGCTATGGTCGGTGATGTGGATAGAGAGTGGATTCTAGACTGGATGGAAAGGAACGATGAATCGGTAGATTTCGAGACCGATGAAGACGAATGGGAAGCAAAATCAATTGGTTTGGATGACAGCGTTAGCGTGGTTGCGAAAGGGAGAGAGAGAAAAAGAATTGATAGGTGGAGAGAGATGTGTATGGCAATAGGAAATGACTTTCCAGAGTTGCCGAAAGTAGTGCATCATAAGCCTACGTCTACGCCCAGCCAGAGTGCTTCGATATTACAAATCAATGATCCAGGTAGCGGATCCGAGACTCGCTGTTCCTCGATCCATCACTCGTGTATATCTAATTCTGCACATAAACTGTAGACAGCACTTCTTGAACCAATCAAAATCTATAATTTTTTTATCTCTAACTATGACACGCAAGAGAATTCGGAGTTTCCAATCTTCAGTGCAATCAAACTGTGTGTTAACAATATATCCACACTACTATGGACAGTATGAGTATCTAAGACTTGTTGCACACCTTTATCATGCGAAAAGAGTTTAGTGCGATTTATCAGAAAATGCTGATTCGTATTTGAGTCCTTTCACTGAGTAGAACAAAGGAATCAAACTTAGCTAACCACAAAATGAGATAATCCGAGAAGGATTAGCAATTTGAAACAACACCTAGTGTTCATTTGTCTATGCCTAAAAGTCTTCGGAAGATTTCCAGCTCAATCAACCATGTTTTGATCACTGATTGGCTTCCGGATAAAGATTAGACACCTGCCACAGTTTTCGAATTCGCTATTGCTTCGGATTGTGAGAGGACAGTTACTGAGGATATTATGTGGGCACCCACAAATGTAGACGGCTATTATACCTTTACACATACTGGTTAAATTAAGTAAAATGGGACAAATTTTGATATTTTCTGTACCCATGTGTACCTATAGAGCTTCATCGCTCTCAAGCAGAACAGCTGGTCATAGATCTGATGGATGATGGCTAATGTCAATCTTGTTGGGCTTTCCGATTGCGGCGGCATTTTTGCATCTCGGTTAGCACCTTTGCCCAAGTTCCGTCTATGAGAGGCACGCATGCGAGTAAATCCCATGTAGATTTTGAGGGAAATAAAGAATAGTCACCTAATATCGAATTTAATATTATCTAAGGCCTAATAATATTGGAAATCTATGGTCATAAATCTGAGTATTGACATCCAGAGTACTTTTTTGCCTGATTCTTGCATACATGTATATCTCAATCAAAAATGAATCGAAAACTTGGACTAAGCATGTACCAAAATCTGTTCACCTGGAATAGGCAACATAGTTCTGACAAGAAACGCGGAAAACTGAATTTTGCATCAGTGCTTTTTGATTGGATACTAGTGCCACAACCAAGTTGAACATATCTAACAATGTAGGAACGACGCAATGTAGAGAAAATTTATGGTGGTGGAGAAGCTGGGGCGGCCTCAGGTTTTTGTCCGAGTTTCACTACTTCTTGCCAAGATGGGCCTGGATCAACCCAAGTTCCGGCTTCTATTCCTCTGCCCCTGACCGCTATATATTTGACAACTTCTTCTGTATATTCGAAATTCTCAGAGTAATCCCCCCTGTCGGTGATATTCCCTTCCTCTACCTCTCTGGGTAGCCATTCCTCGTAAAATAGCTCAAACGCTGTTGGATTTTCTTCACCCAGCTTAATTCGTGCCACCTCTCGCCTCTCTATTTCAGCTGCCTCTGCTTTCTTGGCTAATATTTCATTCCGATGTAATAATCTCTCTGCTTCCAATCCTCCTGGTTGAACTAATTTCTTGAGCCTTTCCTGGGAGAAATTACGTTCGTCTGCGGGATCGTTCTTCTTCCTTGGGATTATTTCGTCTCCAAACCATTCAGGCAATGCCCTAAATAAGTCCATATTGCCCTCTCTTTCTGTGACCGGACCTCGGAGTTCTTGTAACAATTCTCTAGCGGATGGTCTCTTCTTATGATCAAGCACCAAGGACCTTTGAAGCATAGTTTCAAATTCTCCACTGTACAGATGATCGATAGGCTGGACTCTTCTGGGATCCATTGTAATCATTGTCTGCTGTTCCTCCGTAAGGTCTGCAAATGTTTGGTCTTCGGGAACAGCTAGCTTAGTAGTTGTTACGTTCCGCGAAGTTAGCGAGTAAATGATTGAGCCGGCACGCCAAATATCACTTTTGGCACTCCACCAATTCAATTCGGAGGGGTTGTGCTTGTAATCAATACCCTTTTTTTCGTCGATGTCCTCTGAAAATCCATCACCGAAATCCACAAGTTTTACTGCTCCGAAGTCTCCCAACTTTATATCTGGATACACGGAATCGTGCGATTTGCCCTCGGGCCAGGAAAGATATATATTCCCGGCGTCTAAGTATGGCATGATAATTGACTTACGCCCTTTGTGTGAAGGATCGTTCTCGTACTTCGGATGATCATTGTGAAGGAAAGCCAGAGCATCAATAACCTTGTAATAGAGTTTCCACAAGAATGCTTCAGGTGGCCGTCTTTGACGGCGGTTGTAAGCTGCACGAAATTGTTTGACAGTGCCAGCGTCGCAAAGCCTGTAAAATTGGGCTAATATGAGTTTGCCCCTGTCATTACGGTATTGATGAAAAGCTTCAAGCTGTTTGATGGTTTCATGGCCTTTCTTAATGAACCGAAGATAGACTTTTATTTCGGTTTGCCTTTTAGCATTGTAGCTTTTACTGGCGATCTCGCTTGGTGAAGTTGCCGCGTCTTCGCTAGCTGGAGACAACGGGGGAAGAATCTTATCGCCTGTCTCATTTAATATGACACTCAGCTTGAGGTCAAACCGAGGTGCCATTGGATGCCGCGTATCTGTGGTTCCAAATTGAGTAGTTTTGCCATAGCTGCGTAGGTGGAAATCAATTTGGATATCCTCAAGCTGCAAGGCAAGGTTTGGTCTATGCGGGTTCTTTCGAAGGTTTATGGGGGGACAGGTGCGTAAGTAATTCACGGCCTTGATCTCGATTGGCAGTGGTGGAGCCATGATGTTGATAGTTACTCAGGGTACGAGTTATTTCATGTCAAGTACCGATATTCAAGTTTGATGATTTCTATGTTCTTTGATGATAAAGACTATTCAAACATTGAACGAGCGATGCGCGGGCTATCAAAGAACTTAGCCATAAGATATCCGGAAATGTCGAATATCCTTTGTTGTTCGATTACTATCTTGCTTGATATGTTCTCAAAGAATGAAACAAAATTCATGATAGTATTCATCTCGATAATCTTTTACTAGATGACATGAATAATTTTCTTTTTATAGTTGAAATGATTTCTTTGAATTTAGTCGATCTATATATATCCTATAGAGTATATAATCGTATATATAGCACTAACGTACTACTACTAGTTACTTATCAAAATTACATCTAAAATAGTCATTTTGCTACTTTTGTTTTATATAAAATCAATAACTTTAATTAGATATTTTTATTTAAATTTTAGTATGTATATTATTTCAATACTAATATTCAATAAAATTATATTTTCAAAGCTTTTTCAATTTTTATAGATCGTTAATTATATTATTTGAAAGTATATTTATAAAAGTTTATGATTTTCGTTCATTTTATTAGTAAATCTCGGTGTTTTGAAGATTCTTTAATTTTTTAAGTTTTAACTTATTATTTTTTAATATAGAACATTATTAATAATAAATCATCGGATTTTTAATAAATTTCATTTGATTCTTGTTGGAGGTAAGTTCTAGAATATAATAATAATATTAATATTCTAGTAATAGTGGAAGACTTAGTCACTTTAGCTTGAGGGACGAATCGAATATAATATAATAGTTGAATTGAAGACAAATTATAAGAAAGAGCTTAATTAAGCTGAATTTGCTTGCTTTTTTTTAGGTTTTTTTTAAAGAATATTCTAGGTTTATATAGTTTATAATGAAATTCTAGTAGTTTCTATGCTTATAAATAAAATCGATTTAAATGGAATCTTATAGAGCCATTTTATATTATAAAATAAAAATGCAACCAATCAATTTAGTTAATTTATTAACAATCTTCTATATGATTCCATCTCATTCTATTTCATTATAAATCAATTTGATAAGAGATATAGCTATATTATAATATAATAATATAATTTTATAATATAAAATTATATTATACTTATATTATTAATATATATATAGCTTGATTAGTAAGATATTAATAAGTGATTTAGTATACTTATTATAGAATCTCACACACCCCCTTAATAGGTATATTAAATCAATCTTATTATATATCTTAATTTAGATTGATCTGATTCGTAAATTCGATTAATTTAGTACGGGCTAGTGCTTTCGTAAGCCCATCAGCCTTCTAGTCATTAATTTTATTTATTTATTTATTTATTTATATTAATTAACGTCTGTCTTGAACCTCCCTAAGGGTATTTAGACGTGCTAAGATAAGGGACTATTTGAGCGGCGTGATCGTCGCAACCGAATTTAGCAATTTAACTTCAATGCCAGGGGCTGTTCGCTCCTCTGCAGGTGCGATCCACTTCTGTTTCCAGAAGGGTACGTCTGATCCGGGTTCTTGTTAGGGTAGAGCTTGGTTCCCGGGTGGATAGGCTCGTTGTGGGCTCCGATCCCTATGGTGAAGGAGAAGAAGTGGGAGTGGGTTGCTATTTGTTTAGCCGAGCGGCAAGGCTCTTATATTGTATATTGGGTTTGCGGTTTTTAGGGGTGTGGTATATTCGAGTGATCAGTTGAGTGGTAAGTTTATAAAAGGGGCGGCGGGCTTTGTTGAAAAGATGGTCGCTTTCTAAGGGTCCTTTAGTAGTTAGGACAGATCTGAGTGTAGAACTCTGAGTCGGTAATCAGCTGAGTGAGCTTGCTAGGTGTGTGTAAGAGTTTCTTGATATATGTGATCGCCTGTTTGTTAGATTGTATTTCTACAGGGGCCAGGGGCCAGTCTGAACGTTTTAGGTTGTTTATAGTGCATTTAAAGAAGTGATATGGTTCCTTAGCGCTGCCGCATGAGCAGTCCAGCTTGTTGTTTTGATGACCAAATCGCTGATGGTAAGCGGCGTAGTCGCCATGACCTGTTTTCATAGCTAGTAGTCGGTGAAGGACTGCTCTTGGCAGAGTTAGTTCCTTCGGCTCCTTTGTGTTGTACTTGGGAGACCATTCTTTATAATTAGCAGAGAGAGAGGGATTCATCTCTTCCCACCACTCAGTCTCTGCGCGTAGGCGCTTTTGGCGAACGATCGTCCGGACACCACTAATTGTTGGTAGCTTGTCGATCGCCTGGTCCATGGGTCCAATTGCGCCTGCGTTTGCTAGGCGGTCTGCTTCCTCATTCCCTTCGATCTCCATGTGACCAGGTGACCACTTCACTCTAATGTCAAGTTGTTTCATTGCCTTATGGCACTTATGGAAGGCCCATTGCGTTGTGGGCGGCGCGTTTCCGCGAACACCCCAGATGACCGATGTACTGTCAATACACATCCAGATCCGGCCACTCGGGGGATCTTTAAACGTGCTGATCAGGTGCTCCAGCCCTCGCCACGCTCCGATCGCTTCTGCATCGAACACATGTGAGTCGCTCCGGATCTGCTTGGATCCGGAGGCTAATTGAGTGCCATTGTGATATATTACATATCCGTATCCGACACAGTGTTTACGATCAATGGTTTGTTCTGATCCGTCGGAGAAGATCGTGTAGTCCTCAGGTGGGAGTTACAGCCACCACTCTTTGAAGGCTTGAGCTGCTTCCTCTTTGGTTAGCCCTTCCGTCGGATCCGTTCTGCAGCCTATCGAGAAGTGCGGGCGAAGTAACTTCGGCCGTTGGGTCTCTGGGATGAGGAGGCCGAGCCGTTGGATTCTTGTAAGGGGCCTTCTAGCTGTGCCTGCTCCTCGCCCGCGCTTTCGTACTGTGGGTTTCAGGCGGCTCACTAGCAGGTGCTGATTGTCGACCGTTTTTAAGCGGAGTGCGAATCGCAGCTTGGCGTGTTCTAATGCGACTATCCCCGATGGCAGGCCGGCTTCTTTGATAAGAGCTGCGGTCGGTGTAGTTTTGTATACCGGGATCGCTCCTCTTGCGGCGGTATTGATCACTTTGTTGATGTAGCGGAGATGGCCTTTGATACCTGTGCCTGTGCTTGCTTCGCTTTGACCGAGGCTCGGTTTGAGTTTGCCAGCGTACCATACTTCAGTGCCGAATAGTGCTACTGGAAGGACGCAGGTGATCACTGCTTTTCTCAAGTAGGAAGCTGGTGGCCCATGCAGAGTGCGGGCGATCGACCTGATGTGCGAGGCTACTTTCATGGCTTTCGCTGTGCGTGTTTTGACATGTTGTAGAAACGAGAGCCGACGATCGAAGAAGACACCAAGCCATCTTAGAGTGGGTTGAGTGCTTCCACTCGTTACAATCGGTACTGGAGTGATTATCAGATCCGGGTTAACGACTAGTGGTGGGTTGGTGGTATCGTGTCGTCTGGTTATATGGAGTAGCTCGAATTTCTCTGAGGCGAATAGGATTTTGTTCTCCTTACCCCATCGGATGATCTGTCGAACGCGTCGTTGAAGGATCCTGGCATTCGTGGAGAGATGCTTGGAGGAGTGATAGATCGCAATATCGTCAGCGTAGCCAAAGCGATATTTGGTATCTCGGTTGAGGAGCTCAGCGAGATATAGCATATAGAGTATAGGTGATAGGGGGGACCCCTGAGGAGTACCACATGCTACTGGGTATTCCTCTGTTGTGATGCCTTCGAGTCTTACTCTGACTTTCCTATTTGTAAGGAACGAGTCTATTAGTTTGAGCAGCGGAGTTGGCCATCCTTGCTTGATCATTCGGCTCAGGAGTCGGCGCTTTAGGAGAGCGTCAAAAGCTCCTTGAACATCCATTGTAACAATCGAGACCACATTACCCGTTGCTAATGAAAGCTCCGCATCGTGAGTGAAAGCCGCCGTTAGATCAGTACCTGATCTTCTGGGGAGCGCTCCGCAGTGCTGCGGGCTGATTACCTTGTGTCTCAGGGCTGTCCAGGATATTTGACTAGCTATATACCGTTCGAGCCCCTTACCGATACAGGAGATCAGGGCTATCGGTCGCCACGACCGCGGTGACGTTTTGTCTTTCTTGCCCACCTTAGGGATCATTACTACTTCCGCTAGCTTCCAACCTTCTGGATAGTAGTTTAGAGCTAGGCAAGATGCAAATATCTCCCGGATCAGTGATTTGACGCTCGGCCAGCATGCCTTGAGGATGCGCACAGTGGCTCGATCCACTCCAGGCGCAGTGCAAGTAGCTCCTATGACATGTTTTTCCACTTCTTCTGCAGAGATCGTTCTTTTCCAGGGGAGTATCCCTTTGTGTGCTTGATTGAGCAGCGGATCGTTTGGTAGGTCGTCGTCTGCCCTGAAACGATCCAGAACCGCTGTGAATAAAGCATCTGCCTTCTCTTTTGTATCGCAGATCACCCGCTCGCCGATTATTAGGGAGGGGGATTTCGCATTACTTTCGGGGGTTAATTTGTGCCATCCCATAACCCGATAGAGTTCTTTGTCGTCTTTGACTCCGTCGAGACGCATTGCCCAGTAGGATCTCTTGGCTTGTCGCACTACCTTTTGTAAGAGATGAGTAGCATTAGTCTTCCTTTCCGGGTCTGATCCCCTCCGTGCTTCTATGTGTGCTCGGTGGGCTTCTCTGCACTCGTCCGTCCACCACGGCGAGGCTTTTCCTACCTTCCGATCAATCTTGCCGATTGCTCGGATCGCTTTTTCTAACGCATTCGCCAGCTCACTGACGTGGGTTTCAATCTCAGTTGTAGTCTGAATGTCTACATCATTGAGGTGAGCTAGCTGGTTGGCCATTAGTCCATCTAATCTAGGCAGATCCACTTCCTTTATCCGATAGCGATACTGATCCCACTCTGTTGTTCCACGATTCGTCAGAGTAGTGACCTGGGTAGCATGATCAGATCCACAATGGAGTTCTTCCAGTACCTCTGTATAAGCGAACGGTATGTTGG